TCCTTCTCGCCAAATCCGGTCCATCCAAAAGAAAAGCTATGGCACACCTTGGACGTGCAAAGAGCACTTAAATGTTACCTTCACAGAACGGCCACATTTAGGAAGACGGAGGCCTTGTTTGTCAATATATCTCCTCCTCATACTGGAAGGAAAATGTCTAATTCAGCACTGAGTTCAACAGTTAAGTCTTGCATAGCTGAAGCGTAGAAGAATTTAAAACAGCAAGTCCCTACTGGCATCACTGCACATTCTCTACGTAGTGCGGCCACTAATGCGTAATTGAATAACAGGGCATCTCTAAAAGAAATATGCAAAGCCACAACATGGTCTTCATTATCTACCTTCATTAGGCATTATAAAGTTAATGTCTACGATTCTGCGGATGCAGCCTTTGGGAGGAGAGTGCTACAGTCTGTGCTTTCTCCTGATGACGACCTCCCACCCGTTTTTTAGCGACACTGCTCTGGGAGGTCCCACAAGATGGCCTCCACCTCAGAGGGAGAACGACCATTGGTTCTTACCGTGAAGGGTCCTTCTCCTCTGAGGGGTGGAGGACATCTTGGCCCTCCCGGGTCGTCATCACTATTCTGTTTTTTTTTCTATTCTCTTACCTTTGTGGCTATTTAATTTTCAGAGATAAGTGAGTTACTTTTATTTCTAAGTTCTTCCTGTTCAAGTTCTGTGGTTCATATTTCTATAGTTGATATGTTTCCAGAGTTATTTAGTGTATTGCTTTTAGGAGTACCCAAACTGAAACTGGGGTGACTCCCACCACAGGAAACAGGAAGTTTTTGAAGAGTTCCTGCCTCCCTGATTGATGGATGGGAATCACCCACAAGATGTCCTCCAACCCTCAGAGGAGAAGGACCCTTCACGGTAAGAACCAATGGTCATTCCCACAACTTTTGAGACTTGGACATTGCCCTTATGTATTTGAAGTTCTATGTACATCTATCAAACTGAGGAACTTTGCGGCATGTTCTTCTATACCTTAGCAGACCTAAATGAACATATTTACCAACATGGGAGTTGGAGAACATACCCTATTCTTTTTGGAAGTCTGTGTATAGACTACTCAATTCAAATACCTGGGAATGACTTTTAGTTACAATCTATCTTGGAAATCACATCTTTGCTCAGCAATGGAGATTGAGAGAACAAACCAAAATGCACTCCTAAGATTTTTCTATAAAAGGGTGGACAATATCGACTGATGGCTATTAGAGCTTTTAATGTTCCCGGATTTTATATGGGGCTGCCATCTGGATAGATGAAGCTTCCAAATCTTTGGATAATATACGTGTCCAGTTTCTTTGCAATGCTCGTTTGAATTGAGGGCCTAGCTGGCTGCTTTCAAATTAAGATTGAAGGCTTTCGTCTCATCATTTTAGGAGGTCACTCGCTCCACTAAAGAAGGATAACTTTAGAAGTACTTGGGAAAGATGTATATATAAGAGGCTTGAACTGCTGGGATTACCCTCCGTGATGCTAAATAATACAACGTGATAAGGACTTTGAGACTAATCAGGATGAGGCCATCTAATCTTGACCAGGCTAGTACATCATCTCGGGCAAGGTGTGTATGTTCTACTCTTGCACTAGGGATACAGCCCCCTATGGCTTTACCTGCATATCTCTCTTATAATCCCTAAAATCCTTCGCTATAGATACGCTTTTACCCTTGCCAGATTAAACACCTAGCCGTCTGCAGAGTTAATGGGGTGTTTTGTAAATATTCCATTGTCTGATCAGCTATGTGATTGTGCATCTGGAATTATTGAGATGTTGGATAGTCTGTTATTATTCTGCTCTCATTGGTTAACATCCAGCTCTGTCTGGATTTGCCCGATTTTGCTTAAATACCATCTACCTATGGAATCTTGGGAGGTATCACAATTATTGGCTGATTCTGACCCCAAAATAACCCATCCAGTTGCAAAATGTTTAGCTATAGTGATTTCCCTGAAACATCAGAGAAATATCCATAATTAATTATAAAATTGGATGTTAGGTCTGATATATTTGGCTGATTGTAATCAACTTTGGCTCTCAGATATTATTGTTGTTTGTAATTATACATCTTAATCTGTTTACTTATCAATTATATTAATCCACTAAAATTTAAAACTCTTTTAAACTTATGATTTTATAATTCTAGGGATGTGGTATCCCTTGTGTACTCTGCTGTGTAATTTGATCTGTTTTGGTTTTAGTTTTATGTAATATCCCTTCGTTGTTTTAAATTGTTCCACTAAACGTAAGACCACGGGTCAAATGAGCTAAATAGATAAAGTCAGAGCAGTATCCAGGGTCCAAAATTTTTGGAAAACTCACAACTATGAAAACAGAACTATTTTTGTAGGGGGGGTGTCTAGTGTTACAATGCCCTCTAGTGGTTTTTAGCATACTTTTATTGCTTCCAGAAATGTTCTTAGCATCCTGCATCTTATAAGGGTAAAAATTAAATACATATAGTTCAGTCAACTAGTCATCATGTTTACCTCACACAGAATGCCCAAATGGCTTTGCGTGAAGCCAAAAAGCAGAATATGTTGCTGGACAAGGAAATAAAAACCAAAATTCACTTTTGCCAGTTGCAGCTATCCAGTCAAACAATAAAATATTACCAAGGCTTTTCACTCAAGCCACAGCTTTCTGGAGCAGCTCCAACACTTCAGATGTTAGTACACTAAACTAAGATAAAATTTGCTATGAAATGGCACTAAAATTTAGTACATCTTTATGCCTTTGTACTACTATGCCAGGCGAGAAATGAGAAACAAAATTGTTCTGCTCAACTTACCCAACCTGTGCTATTCTCCAGGTACTGAGTCTTTTGACTTGCTTAATACTTTTAAAATAAATAGTGTTTTCCTGAAAGAACAAGTACTGCACTGTATTATGCCATCAGGATAATATATATGTCCACATTTTTGGCAAACACTGTGCCTTTTATTATACATAATATAGTATTTTTAAAAGTCTTATTATATTACAACTGATTTTCCAAATACAAAAACTAGCCTACTAAGGAAACCACGTTTCCTTACTTCAAATATTTTGTGACCCCCTTACTGGTTTTCAGTCAATGAACAGGGTATTTAATACTTTCTATACATAATTGGTTCATATAGAACTCACTGCAAATCTGTCACTATTAAGGTTAACCTTTATACTCAAATTGCCCACCTTTTAGCCAGTATCAAGACACTGTTAGTTCTAAAAAGCCTATAATTTATCAATGTAGTCATTTTCCAAAATGGTAAAAAGCACTATTTAGTCCATTTGTACATGCAGCCACACCCTTAGAGGGTGTGATTTTATTTTTATTTATTTATTTTTCCAATTTATACCCCACCCTTCCCTCCAAGGCAGGCTCAGGGCGGCTTACATAAAAGTAAATACATGAATAACAATTAAATAACTTGTGCCAATCCCACCCTCTGGGAGGAATGTAGGGGAATCTCTTGATTCCTGTATTAGAGAAAGGAGAGAGCTAGAAGCTAGTCCTGCTGTGGTGCAAGGACTTGGAGATCCATACCCAAGATGGCCAGGGAGCCCAGCAAAGTACTTTGCATAAACCCTGCCCAGGAAGCAAATTGGGGGCACCTCTACTGGTGGAAAATGGTCTGCCACAAAGCTGAACTCTGTAAACAGAAACTGGTCAAATCCCAGACATGTAAGTAGTATGAATGCACACTGGGCTGTGCAGAACCTGATTCCCAGGTATGCCTATGGCTTGCCAGAGCACTGCTGGCTGTGGCAGAAAAGACAAAAGCCGGTTTTAGATAATACTCCTACTTTGTATGTTACAGGAGAAAATTGTTTTGGATACTTCTACCACACTTTTCTCCCCTGAGTGTGGACTCGAAGCAATTTACAATATAAGAAAGCAACAGGCTATAAATGCATATGCACAAAACATATCAAACCTAGCTGGCAGCAACAAATGAAGCACAGAGAGGGGAACAGGAGCAGAGCTAGTGGTAAAAGCTCTGCCCCTGGACGGTGGCAACAGCCTTTCTCCATGTACCAAGACAGTGTTGGCTCCAGAGCAACCTAGAATTCCATCATGAGCCACCAATGTAACCATTTCTTCCTGCTAATTTTAACAGGTAGCACATAGTCCTTCACAAATCTTGAAATACGCTGAAATCTGAAGTAACTGTCATGCACATGGGGTATGTTTAGTATGTAGTCTATACACAAAGGATTTATTTTATAACCTGAATGTACAGTTGTACAAAACAGTTAACAGTAATATTAATATCATGAACTTCAAATATGCATATGGAAGCAAGAAGATTTTTGTGGTTTCTTCGTATCGTATAATACAGAATTAACTTCCTTTGCTGAGACCCAAATAAATACCATCAACACCAATTTTGGAGACCATTATTTTGATGAAACAAGATAAAATTAGGCATCGACAAACTGTTTCTTACTTTTTCTTTTTCTTTTTTGAGAAATACAGGCATTTAATTGAATGTGAGCAAGAAAGGAAGCCTCCCTTTTAAGAACCAAGAGTCAAGAACTGTGCTGACCAGGCAGATGGGAATTGCTCCCAGATGGCCTGATCTCCTCCCTGTTTAACTGTTTCTTACTTAATACTAATATAATTAACATATCAACTGGATAATTATACATGCCAGTGGATCCACATCCATATTTTGTTTCCATTCTCTTGAGACATATTCACCTGACTGAAACGTTGCATGCCAGCCTAAAAAGTTTATATAAAACCAGTAAGTATTCCAGCTTATAAAATATTACATGAAACAAATTCCTCATTAACGAAGCTGGCTGCTGGAATACATCATATAACATTAAGTGTTTAGAAGTTGTGACATACAAACTGTGAACCTTGTGACATACAAACTGAAATCTATGAAACAAGGATGAAAATAGCCTTGCCAAATACAACTGTGCTAAGCGGTTCCAAAAACTCTACAACAGGGGCTGTGCAGTTCTTGCTTTTGTAGCCTACACCCGTCTGAATTCCTCGGCTCTAATCCGTGTTTGTTTGATATTTGGCTTCAAAATGTGGCGGCCAATCTGAAACCAAACACACTTTAGTTAGTATTTTTAAGAAAAGATTCAAGAATAGAGTTGCTGAATAATTTTTCTGCAATATTTATGAATAACCAGAATAAGAAACAGTAACATAAGTGAATATTCCAACCATATACCTGTTTCAACCAAGCCTTTTTACCAAGCTTAAAAAAAAAAAGATTAATGATACATTATGTCGAAAGGGTACTTTTGTATGTGCAATTCCTTAACATACCCCACTGATCTAGGATTTTTACATATTACCTGTAAATATAAACTAATTTAGCCAAACAAAATACATGAACCTGAACAGATTCAGTGGGGCTTTATTCATTTTTTCATACAACAATGGACTTCATTTAAGACATGCTCAGCCATGTCCCAATCCAATATGATTACATCTGTTGCTTATTCTGACTAAGAGTTTACTGATTTACTTTTGAACTTCATTTTCTACTGCCTCTCTGTCAAGGTCTAGTTACATGTACTCAAAGTGGTATGAATTTTTCAAATGCATCTGTCAGTGAATGACCAATCTGCTTTTGCAACTGTATGGTGACGTTTCACACTCAGATTAATTTGTTTCAAAGACCCCACCAATTTTGAGGACAGCTCAAGAGAAAGTGTGCCAAGTCAGAAAGCTCTGTATCATGTTTTTCCATCTGAAATCTATCAGATAGCAGGTGGAAAGCACACCACTGATAGCCCTCCTCTCTTAGAAAAAGTGTTAAAACCACTGATAAAAATACTTGTGTGTGTTGACTGTCAAAAGAAAGGAATCTGCTCCCTTCTTTTGGATACTAATATGGAAGCATAGTGCAGGTGTACTGAAATGTGTGAATCATCCCATATGAAAGCTGTCATTAAGTGAAACAACTAACAACCCGTTTTAGACACACACAGTGCAAGACTTGTGTTTGTGCAGATGTAATACTGCCGTCATCCCTTAAGCATGGTTGAGAACTTGTAAAGGGGCTAAAGGATCTGGTTTTTTCCTCCAGCCTGTTTTTTCTGCAATTTCCCCATGCCAGCTTAACAGCATAGTGAAGCTTGTATCATACCACCAATATCCATGGTTAATGCTAACCAGAGTGTGCTCATAATCCACTATTTGAAACCAAGTGTAAGATTTTGCTCTTTTCTGATACCCCTTATATGTAACTCTGGTAAAGGCACCTCTTTGTAGTGTTCTAAGATGACTGTCTCCTTGCCTTCCTTAGAGTTTCCTACATTTTTCCTGCCACCAAAGGCTCTTGCCATAGAATTTTTAGTTGGACCCAAAGAACAGAATGGCTTAGTTATATCTGGTAGAACAACAGAAAGGTCAGAGTGTAGGGGTGGCTCTAAGGTAAAAGGGGATTCTTCACTCTAAATAAAACAGTTGTTTTCTCTTAGACATAGAGTTTATTTAGACGTGTAACAGTTTCAGTAAAGTTCATAAGTGTAATGGTTTCAAATATGTTTCTTCTTCTTTCTCTAAAGTTTCTTAACTAGACCTTGTCACAAAGGCTTACTTTCTCACTTGCCATTTAGGCAATAACTTCCACAAAAACACAGACTTCTCACAAACATCATATTCTTCGCCCACTCAACTCTCTTCCCCCATATCCCCTCCTTTCTCCCCTTTCTCACACACAAAGCCTATCTGAACAAACCAGTCAACTTTGTCCCATAGGGTATACAGCTACCATCCAATCATAACACACTTCAATCCTCCATTCAGCCCCTGCTCTTACTCTATTTATTTATTTTTCCAATTTATACCCCTAGGGGCCTACATTTTAACCTACAGGAACATACATGTAAAACTCCACATTACACCACAGAAATAAAAAACACAAAATATTTACATACTGAAACACCACACCAGGGTTCTAAATGTGTCAAAATTCCTGGATTACAAGTCAACACTAATCAACACAAAGCAGGGTTTGAAGAGGAAGCTTTGTTCAAAATCTCTCTAAAATGAACTCTGGTAAGCATTAACCATGATGAATATTGGTGAAGGCATAACAACAATAGTTAAGGGAAATGTGTCCAGTAAAGGGGAATAGATATGGAAAAGAGCATGGCCAGAATCTCTTACGATCCCATGATCAAGGAGGGACAAAAAATAATGTGTGTGCCCTAAACAACCTGAAGTATAGTTCCATGCATTTATTCTCTCTCCACACTGGAAGACACATTTCTCCAAGATAGGCAAACTTTTTAAAAGATGCTTTTAAAGAGTCTCAGGTTGCAATCATAGGTATTTAAAAGAAAGCTCCACTTGTATCTCCGGGACTTAGCATATTTCTGCATAAACATACTTCATATTGGAATGTAAAAGTAAACCAAAACAGCCACATCAGCCACTCTCTAAAACACTTACATCTGAAATATAAAAAGAGATTCATTGTTCCTTTTTAAATTGATACCGTTGATACAATTTGATTATTATTCCAATATATATGATTGTTCATTTAACTATGTATGGCTATTTTCACTATAAGAGAAGTGTGGAAGGAAGTATATTCATCAGTTCCTGAACTAAAATGTTAGTATGATCTGTAAAAGCTGGGTTTGGATAACTGAGTATCTTGCTGTATATCCAAGTCCTTCCAGACTAGCTCTGGAGATCAAAGGTCTCAGGCCTTCCTTTTTGTCACCTTAAAAGCAAATTTTGCAGCTCCAGAGGAATAATTTCTACATCAACGCTATTCACATACAAAGGCCACAGTATTTTTAAAAAGTCCGATACGTACTATTGGGGTTTCTGGACTGGAAAATGGAGAAGCATCAGAGGATCTGTTCTCTTTATCAAATGAATCATCATCATTGCTGTGGGCTGCAAATTTCTCTTTAAGAGCTTCAGCTATTAAAGCCGCTGGATCCCATTGTACTCTAATTACTTTCTTTGTTCTGGGTAGAGGTGTACCTCCTGGCGACCTGGAACATGACAAAGTGTTTCCAGTCTTTAATGAAAGTATTTGCTGCTCTTGGTTTGTAACTACATAGAGTAGTCTTGGCAGTCACCTTTAACTCCCCGCGTCGTCCTTTGTGGAACTGAGGATATTCTTCTTGGCTTTCTGTGCGCTGTGGTCAACATTATGTAAATTTTATTTTGTAACTGTCTATAAAATGCCAATGCTGTCATGCCCCCTTTAGCCAGCAGTTCTCTCAAATTTTAGCAAATGAAGGACCCCATTTTGATTTTTTGTACTGCTCTCACTAGCAAGCCAGCTGCTTTTCAATGTGCGTAGGGCAAGCCACGCATACCCCATGGAAGCATCCATCCTCTTGCATATGCAAAACAACACAATGAGAACCATATTCGATACACTTTAAAAGTTAAAAAAAATTGTAGGCCATGACCCAAGTTCTGATCCACCTTACTCCTTAACTGGAACAGACTTTGTGCTGGACATGGCAAGAAACTTCCTTATATAGACGTAAATAATAATAATAATCATCATCATCATCATCGTCGTCATATGGCAGTGGGTGTAGTATAGCCAGAAGATCTGACGATTGTCTGGCAGCCTGAAACTCTAGTTCTTTTCGTGGTGAGCTAGGCTTATTTTTTGGGCTGAGAGAACTGTGACTGACCCAAGGTCACCCAGCTGGCTTCAAGTGGAGGAGAGGGGAATCAAACCCGGCTCTCCAGATTGGAGTCCACTGATCTTAACCACTACACCAAACTGGCTTTCTTTATATAGACATTATTTACCAAGAGAAGCCATCTGAACACAGGTAGGAAGGGACCTGGAAAATCTTTTAGAGTTCCTCACGGAACCAAGGAAAGACCAGTATCCCATACAACCTGAACTTCTGGAATTCAATTAAAAACCACCACTGGCTATTGTCTTATGGATGTAAGTTCTCATTTTTACAATCCTTTGTATTGCAAAATGCAGAGTGAAAAACAGCTCAATTTTATACTGAAGATAAGAGGGACTCTGTATTAGAACTATACCCTCTTGGTGTTACTCAACTAAATATAGCTCCCAGGACTGAACTACTCATTCCTGGTGACCAATCAGCATACTGGCTGGCTAAGGTTCTGAGGCAATGTGGATGCTAGGTGACGGCATGTGGTGGCAACTCTTCAAACTCCGGCCCTTTGAAAGAGGGAGAAGCTTATTCCCTCTCCTTCCTCTGAGGCACTGAATCCCTCCCCCTATTCACAAAAAAACTGTGCAGACTCGACTTTTGCATTAGCAGATGGGCACAAGAAGGGCTCTGCCCTTATAAAAGACGTGCAGATCCCCGGAGTACCTTTGTGGACCCCATTTTGAGAAACGCTGCCTTAAGCTGCATGTTAGTATTACAGTAGCATGAACAACCACTCCAGTCCTTGGACACGCCAGGTAATTCTGCTGTAAGCGGCCATCCTGATTTGTCAATTCACATAATTTGTAAAATGAAGTTGGCTGATTTTGTGTGAGGATCCTAGTCCTCAACTACAATTTGTAATGTAAATCACAGAAAGTATGAAACTGAATGGTTTATATTTTAAAAATATTTCAATCACACCACACAGAACATAGCTATATATCTGTATGATGTTCTGTATCCTAAACATATAATACATGCATTATGGATATTTGTCACAGGTTGAAAGTTTATGCAATAATAAACAGACTTCAAAGCCAAAACCAATACAAAAAAATCAGAATCAGTTATTGGCTTATCAGATCTCCTGAGATCACCTGTACTAATTAAAAAGACTTATTTTCTAGGTTTGAGAGATACTAACAATAAAATATAAGACAGGATCCAGCTCCAGCTGTAAACATAAAAAGGACCCCCACACACACTTCTACATTACCCTTCTGACTTTCTTCAGTACTGAAACAACTGTGCATATGAAGTCAATTTTAACAAACACTCCTGGGCAGTGTCTAGGATTCAAGAAACCCTTCCAACAATTTTATCATTATCAATAACATAGCCCTGTATGTGGATACTTACATCCAGAGATTTCAGTCATGAGCAGACAACACAGAGAAAAGCCCCAAATTTGCAGGAAGATCTTAAGTCTTCCCAAAAAAGGGGGGGATGGGTTGGTTCCCTCCCCCAAATAATAGCTTTCAGAAACAAATGCCTTCAGTGGCTGTTGCTAGGCAATCACAAAGTATTGCCAATGTTCCTCCTGTGGTTTCTGTCAGTAAAACACGGAGGGAAGGGGCAGAGCCCTTTCCATGGCTATTTTGGCCTTAGAGACTAGGCTGGCAGCAACCACTGGGTGACTTGTTACCGCCTGAGTTGCATGACTCACCTAGGCCTGGCCACTTGCTACTGTTCAACAGCAGCCACCCCACGAAAGGCAGTTGGTAGCATTTTGGACTTGGATCTAGGAGATGCAGGTGCAAATCCCTATTCTGCCATGGAAGCTCACTGGGTTACCTTGGGCCAGTCAAACATTCACAGTTTACCCTACCTCAGAGGGTGCTGTGAGGATAAAATGAAGCAGAGGAGAATTATGTAAGCTGTTTTGGGTCTCCATTGTGGAGAAAGGTGAAGTAAATGAAATAAATCAATAATGAAGTAATGAAGTAAACCAATAATAATATAGCTGAAGATGGGGGGGTATACAATTCATGGTTCCTCCAAACTTGTAATGGCCAATGGCTATATACAATAAACGGTGGGTGGGTTGGATGAGTGAGAATGATAAAGGGAAGCATGGAATGGTGAGGACATGGGGGCTGGAGGAGGTGGAAAAGAGAAAACAGTGTATGGAGGGAAAGTTGAAGATGGGGCAAATAAAGGAAGATTTGCTGGTGGGTAGGAAGCAAGCATGAAAAAGGGAGAGGCTAATACGGGCTTTCTGGAAAGGGAAAGTGAAAACAGAAAGGGAGGGAAAATTAGATGTCCCCCCCACAAGTCTTCCACTTGTTTTATTCTAAAATGCATATACTGCTCAACTTACCTCTCAACAGCTCTTAATTTGACCTTATTTATATCCTTCAGAACATCTGCCATACTGGGAACAGCCTTAGCCTCCTGACATCCAGCCCTATTTGCAATATCTTTGTTCTTACTTGCCGCTCGACGTTGTTTTATAAGTTCAGTTGTTGAAATTTGGGGGCCAGATTCAGATGGCAGCACCTCTGGAAGTGGTGGTGGTGGTGGTGGAATGACTGTGCTACAAGACGAAATGGGAACTGGTGTAGAAGTCATTGATGACTGTGGAAAAGTACTCCCGGGTGTATTTGATGAATTCACAGTACCTGAACCTATTGAGAAAAAATATTAGTAGATCAGAGACCTGGACATTTCATGTTATAATGTGTAGAAGAGATATGGATGGATCCTAGATCAATCACTTTCCTTATTTTTAAACACACCTACACAATCTAGAATCAGAGTGGGTAATTTTTTTTTTCAAATTTAAAAAATCAGACTAAAAAAAATTAACCAGGTTTTTTAAGATAAAATGCTTTTTGAGGAAAAAAAAATCTATCTAAAGACAGCTTTCTATTTAAGATACATTCTTCCACACAGGGCGATTCTGCATCAGCTTTTCCCTCCATTGTTTTACGAAACCCACGTTGGAACAGAAATTCCCCTCCGCATTGCATGCCACTTTCACTTTCTTTGATCATCACATTTTATGGTACCCTCTACACTGCATGCCGCTTTTACGGATTTTATGGTACCTTTTGCATAGGTCTATGGCCATTCAGATTATATCTCAAAGGTTTTTCATCATGAAATAAGGATTATTTTTAATTATGACGCATCAGACTGTATATTCACAAGCAATGTTTAAAAACTTTTTGTAAATGAATTCCATTAATTAATTCTTTAGGGTCCTAATGTCATTCTTTTCCAGATGTTTTGGTAAGATTATTTTGGGTAATTCCATTAATTCATTTATTAGGTCCCCAATGTCATGCTCTCCCAGAGGTTTTGGTAAGATTATTTTGGGTCATTTTTCTATCTAGAAGATACTATCACGGATGCTTGGTTTTGTAGTTCTCAAAACTGAATTTGTGACTGCAGAGATAACATGGCTCTTAACGGCAAACATGTGTTTAAATAATACACATAAAGTTGAGAAAGACCTCAATCCTATTGTTCCTCTGTAAATCTGTATACACAGAATCAACTCCTTACCTCTTAAGTGCTAAGTTTCAAGAAGTTCAATTAATAGAAGATTGTTTGCAGTAGAATAGATCTGGATAAGTAGGAGTTGTTAAGAGCTAAGTGTGAGGTGGGGGATGGCAAGCAGTACAAATGAAAGTGAAATTGGGCAGAATACTCCAGACGTCTTGAGATCTTTGTGTGACCTCATAGCTGTTTAGGCAAAAACAAGAATATATATGCTATGTAATGTATAGTTCTAAGTTAAATAAAACAATGTAAATGGTTGTTGTTAATTATTTTTTCATCTTCCAATAAAGTACAGCAGAAAAGTTGTCCAAATATGAATGATTAACATTAAACAGGAGACAGATCACCTCACAATGATTTCATAACTAGCTATTTCAAATGATAACTATAAAGCTAACCTGAAAAGTTATTATTATAAAAAAGAAACCTATATCTGGGTTGTAAATATTAAAATCATAAGAACAAGCAAGAACAAAACTTCATGTAGAAAACAATGATTTAAATCAAGTCTTATTGACGTGTGATTTAAATAATTTTAGTTTAGATCAAATCCACCCTGTCTAGAATAGAAAAACATGAACAGGTACAAGATAATATTAAATTAATCCAAATTAGGTATAATTTCCAAACAGGTTACCAAATCCACTGCACCAAACTGGCTCTGGCAAAGCTTCAGACATGACCCAGGGAAATCTGGGTTCAGATCCTTGCTCAGCCATAAAAATCACCAGGTGACTTAAACTGTTCTTTCACAGTGATGTTGTGAGGATAATAACAAACCACCTCATGCATGCTGCTCTGAGGACATAGAGTGGAATAAAACTATGGTAAAGTTGATTCAACAGTTCTCTAAAATAGTTCAACTATGGAGGTTCTCTTTAGCCCTTCTATAATTTATGAAGTATTAGCAATATTCTTCAGGTTTATTACTATAGTTTTAAGAACTAAAAATCTGCTTTATGTTTTTAATTAAAAGTTCAAGAAGAAGGTTGAATTTTGAATGAAATGTGAAATTCTCACACACCTGGACAGGTAGAGTATTATTGTGGGTTGAATACAAACAGCTCTACCTGGAAAATCAACTTTCATTTGCATTTTTACATAGGAATTATTTGTATGCCCTCAAGAAACAAGATTCACAGAGCTATTTAACACTGTGGGTATGTTCAGTGGAATGTTATTGTTTTTCTTTGAATACTCGATCCCTTGACTGCTTCACAATCTACTTTTGAAGGGCACTGAGTATGGGAAGTTGGGAATGCAGAAGTTCAAACGGACCTGTAGAACTAGTTACATAATTCTTTGGATTCAAGCGCATGAGCTCAAAACAAAATACTAATCAAATTTCAATGGCATTGGTGGGCAGAAGGTCAATAGGAATGAACAGTTACTCTCCAAGCAATTAAAAGTAGCTCTGTGCCCCCTCACATTCCTTACTGCTATAATCACTTTCTTATCTCTCCTTTGAAAGCTACCGTAGCGGCTTTTCTCCTCTTCCTTCCCCCCCTCATTTTCCTTTCTCTTTCATACAAAAGAGGAGGCAGCACGTGCACACATACACCTTCGCCCTGGATGGGGAAAATGATGGCACAAGCCCACCCGTTCCCATCCACCATTCCTCCTCATGCACACAAGTGCACCCATTCTCTGCATTTCTCTGCATCAAATCTATTATTTGCCTTCTCCATAACTGTATTTTTCTCCTGCAGTGCAAGTTGGTGGTGATGGTCTGCTTTTGTAAAACAGAAGGAAGGTTTCATCACAAGCTGCATTTTCTAATTGGCTCCACCCACCAAGGCATCATTTTGTAGCTCTCAAGGCTAAGTAGCTCCCAGAAACCTAAAGTCTTCCCTGTCCTGTTTTATGGGTCTCATTCACATAACTCCCTAAACAGGATTACTAAGTGAAGAAATGATTAAGAACAGCTTTATATAAATGTCACTATGTAACTGAGCGTGTAAGAGTAGGTCATGGACACAGACTTACATGACTGGTAATTCCTTGCCCCATGCAATGAGACAATTAAAGCAATCTGTGCACGGAGATGACTTAACTCTTCCTCGAGTGCAGAAATTTTTTTGATTGCATTCTCGTTCACAGCAGCTGCTTTGAGTGATTTTCCTTTTGAAGATGCTGGCAAAGGAAATGAACACAGAAGTACAGACTCTGCCTGTTCATCAGATCTAAAAAATACCAATTTACAGTTATGAAAGGTACAGCAATAATCACTCACTCAAAACTTCAAGCTCATTATGATAGAGATATATAAAATATATTCATTTTACGAGCACATAAATTCAAAAATTTTATGCCCTATGTTTTCTCATCTTACATAGCATCATCCTTCTAAAGTGTGCATTAAAAATTTGTAAAGGAAAAATCTGGTATTTAACATTTATACTTGTCTCCAATATATGCAAGAGGCCTTCCTAAAACATCTATTTACCAGAAAATTCCACAGCCTATCTGTACAATAAGAACATAAGAGACGCCAATGTTGGATCAGGCCAAAGGCCCATCCAGTCCAACACTCTGTATCACACAGTGGCCAGAAATACCAGTGCCATCAGGAGGTCCACCAGTGGGGCCAGGACATTAGAAGCCCTCCCACTGTTGACCCCCCCAAGCACCAAGAAGACAGAGCATCACTTGCCCCAGAGTCCCTATCTATACCTTGTGGCTGATAGCCACTGATGGACCTCTGCTCCATATGCTTATCTAATTCCCTTTTGAAGCCATCCATGCTTGTAGCCGCCAACACTTCCTGTGGCAGTGAATTCCATGTGTTAATCACTAATCACTCCGATGGTTCAGTTGCACCACTCAAGAGACTGAGGATTCCAGCCATCCCCTCTAAGCCATAACTTGAAGAATTACCCTTGGCTAAAATTCTACACTGTGTAAGACCCTGGTGAGGCTGATACAACTCTACTACAGTAGAGGCCAAAAACAGGAAGTGTTGTAGTGTGATGAGGAAGGAACAGAGCTTAATCAGTCCCTAAGCCCCATGATACCTTTGCAACAGTGATGCATAACATCGGTAAAAGAGGTGGTTGTGAAGGCCAGGCGCTTTCCTCCGTTCCCCGCCCACACACATCACACTTTCCCACAGCAGTGATTGAATTGTTTTTGGTTATGCATAGCTTGCAGGTAAGGCAATGTTAAAAAATCACTGTGGTGGACTATTGGCTACTATTACAGTGGAAGCCAGGGAAGGTAGAACAGGAATCTGAGGTAATTTATATTGCTTTCCCTCTCCTCTTCTCCTTGAGTGATTCACACTAACACCTTTTCACAACACAAAAAAAATAAGTTTATTGTTTCTTCTTCAGAAGAGCTTATGCTTAGCTGTTTAAGGGATGTCATGGAATGGAAAGAGGTATCAGCTATTTACAGCAAGAGAGAGCAGAAGCTCTGCTATAGAAAAGTTATGGTTTCATGCACACTTTCATGCACACTCAGTGACAGGAAAGGATTTTTCTTGGAAGTTCTCACTAAACTCAAGAACCTCAGAATCTGAACAGAGTTAGCTTGTTTCTTGGGATGTTTCCCTCAATCTCCTCACAAGTCACTAACACACTGTTTCCCTACAGCAACACAGGATACCTGCTCTATTCCTGCCTCTTTATTGGCCTTTGAGCACTATGTACCTAAACTATAGATGTCTGAAACCTATTTCTCCACCTGGTGGAACCTAGCTACCAAACTATTCTCCTGGGAGTTTCCCCTGCCTTTTTGTCACTTCCCCAAGTCCAGTTTGAGGTGATGACTATCTTTCCATCCACCTAACTCTCCCCCCACCCCACCCACCAAAGCTTCCACAGGCTCTCACTGGCTGATGCCACCGTATATCTACATACTCTCCCTACAGAGAAGGATCTGCTGTGATGCCTGGAGGAAAGAACTAGAGGTCGTCTGCCACAGTGGTATCAGAGAAAACGTTCCAACCAACCTCAATAGGGAACAAAACCCATTGTCCCTCCCCTGCTGTGTCTGCACAGCACAATGCAGCACAAAGATGCTAGCAAATTCTGCAGCTAAGCACAATGCACAAACTGGAGCATGTAAACCCTAGGAAGGTTTCCCAGGGCATGGAGCAAAGGCTGTCACTCTGGCACTCCTGAAAGGGACACTTTGCATGTAAAAGGGACACTTTTGCACAAACAGCCAGTATTGACAAGTATACGAAGAGCAAGATTCTTTCTTTTGGAAAGCTGTTACTATGATAACTCAGGATATACATTCATATTACCCAGAAGATTATTCAAGCAACGACTTGTTCCGAAGTATAAGGATATCTACAACAAAACGAAACACTAGAGAATTCGCAACTATACATTGATTAAAAAATTACTGAATGTTGGTTTGGTTCCTATGCAGAGTTATTCTTCAGGAAACAAACCAGTTTTACTTGCCTAAATCTAGCAGACGGCTCACTATCATCATTTGCAATCCACAAGACATCAGTAAGAGAGGGGGTAACAGAGCCAACAATGCTCTGCTGCTCAGAGTCCAAGGAATTCAAATGTTGGCTCAACTAAAGAAACAGAGAAAAACAGTCAAGTGCCTAAAAATGTCAGTTAAAAGAATTAAAGGTAACTGAAGGTAAGCTGCAAGGAAATATTTTTAAACTATATTCATTTTAAAAGGTATCCTGTTTAAGCAGAGCTTCTGCTTGCGATGGTGAAGAGTTACGATTAGAGTTAAGCATAACCTCACTCCCTTTCATTCCATGGTTGGCTCTACCTCCTGCAGCGGCCATTTTGTAATTGTGCCCACCACCCTGTATCAGAATTCCAAAGATGCACATAGGCTTAAAAAGTCTAGGGATCCCTTGATTTTAACAGCAGAATCCAGCTTGATTCTCACTGAGAAAGGTGTATAAATAACTTAAAACAGATTTTTAAAATTAAAAACCACCACATGGACAAGACACAACTCAAGTCTCCCATGAAGCTGCCTTATGCTGAATGGCCCTTTAGTCCATCAAGTTCAGTACTGTCTACTCAGACTAGCAGCAGCTCTACAAGTTTTATGGTAGGGGTCTTTCACATCACCAACTAGCTGATTCATTTAACTAGAGATGTCAGGGACCTGGAACGTTCTGCATGACAAACAGATGCTCTACCTCTGAACTGCAGCCCCTCCCAAATAGTTTCCACGAATGCAGTAGTGCATTGTTTCTATTCCCTCAGTTTTGGCATGTTTCCCCCAAAGCATAAGCAATACAGTTCCAGCAAACTCCTCTTAAGGGATGCCTGCTACTCATTTTCCTTCGTTATTACATGCCATACAAAACAAAATGCACGAATAAGACTTTGGACTTAGACAAGTTATTAGTACTGAATTCTGCAATAATCCTCAAACCTGAAAATGAGCCCTTGGATAAGGGGCTAAGAAAAGAATTTTTCCCAATCTGCGAACAAAACTTCGGGTAGATCCATATTTCTTTGTTTCCCAAGACCAGGACATCTAAGAGAGAAGAAGATCTTTCAGCCATAAGAGCAAATAGGGCTCCCAGCTGATTAAAACATTTTAGTTCATTCCTGGTTTTCTATTTAATCAATTAAATTTATATAAAAGTGCATACAACCAAACAACAGTAGAAATGTCCTTTAAATTTGTACTTTATTTTCAGGCAAACAACACGTACAGAAATGATGAAAAAAATAACAACATTAACAAAAAAGCTTCTTTTGAGATATGCAAGAAGTGCAAGCTTACAATTCAACAGTCAAAATTACCACTTATTATTAGGAGGACAGGTCATTATAATTTTTTTAATTCCTGTTGTTAGTAACAAAACCAGAACCAAAACATGCATTTTGGAAGAGGAGAAGTCTGAGAGGGACCACTTCCTAGCCATTAGAAGTCGAGAGGAGACACTTTCTGCTGGATTATATGGTATGGATTCAGACAAGTGTCTCTCAGAACAGGATTTCAGGGAGCATTTTGGGAGGAGGGAGATGAGAAAGCTGCACTCCACAGGCAGAGATCTGCAGAAACAGGTCTAGACTCAAGCCACTGTCTTTAGTTAAGAGACTAGTAGGCTTGGAACCCATAACATACTTCCAATCTCAATTATTTCTATCCATTTTGGAGGTGGTCCTCCATTGCAGAGTACGTGCCTCATTAGATACTCTTCAGCTCACTGACAGATATTTTTCTAATGCAGGTTGATGTGCCTAGCACATGCATGCTCAACAGTGGAGGATTGCCTCCACAGTGGACAACTGGTGCATGAACAACAGGATCCAAGCCTTCATACTTAAATTTTTTATTTACAGAAGCAGGCTAACTGTTTTACTACTGTTAACTCATTACCACCCAGACTGGCTCTATCATCCTCATAAACAGGCTTCAGTGAAAACATCTAAAAACATTTTTTGCCTATTTCTCATCTACTGGGCTGGACTACATTAAAATATATTTTATTACTCCCCTCTGCTTGGGCCACAGTATTTCCTCCCTTTCTCTGAACAAAGTATTACAGGACAGCCATTAACTAGTTTTAGAAAAGTAACACAGGAACAAAACTGCACTTCAAGGAACGGGGACAGATAGACAGAAAAGCAGTAGAGGTATATCCCAAAATAGAACGATAAAAAAATTAAAAGGGAAGATTATGGCAGTAAACTGCAAAACTCTCAAGCTGTGGCAGTGCAAGAAAAGTATTATGGGACAAAGAATACTGCAAACAATGTAGTCAAAACCTGCCTACTTTAGAAAGACTACCAACAAGAAAAAAATGTTGATACCCTCACCAAATAGTTTCTTGAGATGGCACATAACTGCTGGAAGTGTACTGCAGGAAAGGTATTTAAAGGACGATGAGATCCAAACATTTGAGCAATACCATAAAGACAAACTTCACATCTTTGTAGGACCTGCCAAAATAGAAAAGCTTTCACCAGAAAGAATCTCACTATTAACATAAAGCCTCTACACCAGTGATGGCGAACCTTTTAGAGACCAAGTGCCCAAACCCCACTTATTTATCGCAAAGTGCCAACACAGCAATTTAACCTGAATACTGAGGTTTTACTTCAGAAAAAACAACTCATACATTAACTTAAGATGATCCAAACAACGTAAGGAAAGCAATCCCAAATGCTTTCATTTGCTTAAAATTATTTGGCACGCATGCCCGCAGAGAGGGCTCTGAGTGCCACCTCTGGCACCCGTCCCATAAGTTCGCCACCACTGCTCTACACTGATATTTTTCAATCTGAACACGAACAGTGCCCTCAGCACAAGCTAACATTAATAGGTCTGAGGTAGCCCAGTTACAAAATTGTCTAGTTATGACACTAACCTGTTTCAATACAAAATATTCATGAAACATCTCCCAATCCCTCACCTCATTCAGTTCCATATTTACTTACCAGTTCAGGAGGCACACCATAATATTCCAGCAGTTGTCTTAAGAGGCTCAGTAGCACAGACATTTACAAAACAATGTATTCATTCAAATTCTGGAATAATTTAGTAAGCATCTGCCACAACTGCAAAAAAAGAAAAGAAAAATACCTCATATTTAGGGGGACAATATACAGTTTAAAATTAAAACAACAGTTTTTATAAATATATTAAAAGAGGCTCCGTTTCTAACATCACTATAAAGACACATCACTAATTTTGAAAGAGCTGAATGATGGGGGAGGAAAGATGAGGGAAGACCAGGGGCTCTATCTCCATATAGAGTTGCCACCTCTGGGCTGAGAAATTCCTGAAGATTTGGGGGTGGAGCCTAGGGAGGGTGAGGTTTGGGGACGGGAAGGACCTTCGTAGGGTATAATGCCAGAGTGTCCCCCCCCCCAGAAAAAAGTAGCCACTTCCTTCAAAGGAACTGATCGGTGGCAGTTTCAGAGGAACTGATCTGTAGCATGTGAAGATCAGATGTAATTTTGGGAGGTCTCCAGGCCCCACCTGGAGGTTGGCAACCCTTGCTTCATATCATTTTCTACCCATGACCATTTTGTCTTGACCTCCCAAGTATTCATGTTATTACATCTTAGTACTTAGTACTTAAGGAGCAATTTTTGACATCACCTTCTCCATCTCAGAAACCTCAACATACAATGTAAGCAGGCGCAATAATACATGAAAGTTGTAATAATTTCAGAGAAAATGTATAGAAACTTGGTTTATTTAAAAAGTAACTTCTATACCCTGGGAAAAGAATTGGATGTAAGGCATTCAAAATGTGTCATGGTGTCCTTAATTTGTGATTTGTTTTTCAAATTTTTGCAACTCTGGCTTACAAACTGAACATTTCACTTGTACCTTGAATAGTGTCATTTCAATCAGAAGCATTTGGCTCCAAGCTTCTATGTTATTATTGTGAGCTATTTTCTCTAAACTCATGTTACATTCCAGTAATTTTTATTGGGGCCACCTATGAATATTACAAGGTGGAGACTGTATTCAGAACTTTAGAGAAGCATATGAGAGCATTCAAAATTTTAGGCAGCCCCTTCTTCCCGGCTGCAATGGCTTCTAACAGCAAGCAAAGGAGAGCTGTTTTATACTGGACATTAAGCACAAAGATCTCATTAAATGTATGTCCTGGATCTGTATATCATATGCAGGTATCATAAATATACCAATATCCTACCCCGTGTGTGTGTGTTTGTGTGTGTGTGTGTGTGTAAAGCGCTGTCAAGTCGCCACTGTAGGGTTTTCAAGGCAAGAAATGTTCAGCTGGTTTGCCATTGCTTGCCTCTGCACAGTGACTCTGGACTTTGTTGGTGGTCTCCCATCCAAATACTAACCAGGGCTAACAATCCTTAGCTTCCAAGATCTGATACGATTGGGCTACCTTGGGCCATTCAGGTCAGGGCATCTCACCCCTCACAGACAAAAATTACTTCAGTTACACTTCTGTAACTTCCTGTTCTATCTGTTTACCTTGTTTCCATCCAATCCAATGACAGTTGGGAATGGCTCTCTACCACTCTGAGTGAACAGATACTCTTTTTGATTGGATCTGACTTAAACCAACCTCTCTTTATAATATCACTCCCTCCCTCCACTCCATCCTTTCTATTGTAAATATAAATGCATTGACCTAATGGATGTATACAGCATGCATCTGATGAAGTGATTTCTGACACAAATACTATTAAGAAAGAGCCCCGCTTGCTCTCAGTTAGGTTCTTCTAGGTGCAACCGAAGGTGCTGCATTTTCCTATGAAGCTCTAGAACAGTTTATATGAGGGTAGTTAAGAATTTATTTCAGGGAATATTTGGACAGGCTGAGCTATTTCCATTCTTTTAACAAGAATCATCGTAGTTATGTGACTGTTTTAAAGTATCTTTAAAATTGTATTGGTCTGAAAGCTTTTAATTGTATTTTAGTCCACTTTAGACAGAAACTCTTGAAAGATCTGTTAAGGTCCTAAATTAGTACTAAGAGGCATTCTTGAAATTAAATAAATTAAACGTAAGGGTCCAATAAGCAGTGAGGTTACTTTTTACTTCCCACACATCAAAGGGTTTTCCCCCACAAACCTGTTGGAGCTCTTTCACAGATTACGCTATAGGACACAGTCACTATGCATTTCCCAAACCACCATATTACATAAGTGGTTCTAAATATTACTTTGTTGATACACCACATTGTGTTTTAGTAGCAATGACAACCTCCAGGTGGGGGCTGGAGTTCACCCAGAATCACAACTGACTTTGTGATTCTTTGGAGGGTGACCCCTATCATATTACTGCTGAGCTCCCTTCCCTCCCCACACTCCACCCCCAAATCCCCAGGAATCTCCCTAACCAAAGATGGCAACCCCGTGTTTTAGGTATAAATGTGGACAGTGATACCTCTACCCCCATAGTGATAGTGTTCTAAACACCATTCACAAGAGATCTGCCTAGGTAAGATTTTTCTTGGTTTATGATGCATTTTTCAAGATCATATCATCCTTAAGTTTGCTTAAGTGAAAAATCCAGATAAAGCTGGGGGAGGGCGGAGCATAACGGTTAAGGAAGGTGTTAAATCATGCACATAAAACTTCCAAACTAAAAAGCCTTATTCAGCTTCCATATTTCTAATGTTAATGTCACAACAGACACAACAATATAAAAGCTTGACTAGAGAGTCATAGAAATTTATGGTAATGTTGTGAAAACCACTAATTTTGCATGAAATTTCCACTGCCCTGTGGCACATATAGAGAACTGAAATTGTTGTTGGCCCCAGAACTCAAAGACTGTAAAAACAAAGCAGCCAACACGTTCAAACCAACATATATGCAATTCTTTTTATAAGACCCAACCAAAACATGACTAAAAGAAATTCTATTGTCCTCCTTTGCTCTCCGTACCTGCATTGTTCCTCTTCCCTCCAGTCTGGTCGGCAGTCTGAAATTGGGGAAGAAACTATGAAATCTGACTCTTTTAGATTTGTAATTCTAGTTCTATTTATATATTTTATCTTATGTTTGAATCTTTTTATCATGTTGTACATCACTCAGAACCCCGCAGTAGCAGGGATTGGGAGACTCACAAGTTGAAAGAATGAATGAATGAATTGTAGGATCTTTTAACCCACATTCTGAAGCATGTTTTCGTTGTCCTGTCCTCACTTTTATTTTTTTACTAAACATCCAGCCTAACCTAATTAAGAGTTCGGTGCTATACCATTTTAGGGGAGGCCTAATACCTCCCCTAAAATTTCACAACCTCGGCTTTTACCTTGAATAAAACTTCGTTGGTCTTAAAGGTGCCACGGGAGTCGGGACTCACACGTCGTTTCTCATCCTACAGTGAATGATGACGCTTCCGCAACAGCGTTGTCACCCACCTGATTATGTGCAAAAGATTGGTGCGATCTGAAGAATAACCAGAGTGTGTGCAGCACCAGCTTCAGTTTTGGTGGGTGGGGAAAGGACCCATGCATTGTCCACGCCCCAACATTCGTACGGACCTCCTTCCCCGCCCGCGCACGACCCTGCAAACGTTACAGCCACCTCTATGCTAATTTACTGTTCACCCTCCACCTACATGTATGGACTGGTAATTTCCATTTCTTTGTATCTGAAGAAGTGTGCGTGCACAGGAAAGGTTAAAGCTTTGTTGGTCTTAAAACTGCCCCTGGATTCAAACGTTGCTCTGTTGCTCCAGACCAACACGGCTGCCCATCTGAAGCCACCTCTAAAGAAACTCACCCACCTCACGAGTCCTTTTTTAAGCGGCAGCACTTTGCGAAGCGGCGGCGGCGGGGAACGAGACGAGCACGAGCCCTCACAACAAGATCAGTTTCAATCAAATTCTAGTCCTCCTTCACTTGATTGGAGAAGCCGAGAGAACGTCAGCCCGCCTCAGCCAACCCTCAAGCCCGGAGAGCGTAGTTGGGAGCAAGGGGATTGTGGGGGGGAGGAGGCTGAGCCAATCATGCGGCTAGAGAGAGATTCCGTCCGTCCTTCCTTAAGTGCCAGTAAAATCAGCATACTGGGTTCAGCGTACTGGGGAAGAAAGTGAGTGGCGTGGATATAGGGAAGGAAGAAATGCGTGGGTTTTTTTAATGGTAATGTTAGCGCGGGAGCCGTGCCAGTCCGTTGTAGCCACACAGAACTGAAGTCCAGTAACACCTTAAAGACTAAGGTTTATTCCGGCATGGGCTTCCGGTAGTTGCAACTCTTCCGGTAGTTGCAACTCACTTCTTTACATGAGCATAAGAGAAGCCAATGTTGGATCAGGCCAATGGCCCATCCAGTCCAACACTGTCACAGAGTGGCCAAAAATACCAGGTGCCATCAGGAGGTCCAGCAGTGGGGCCAGGACACTAGAAGCCCTCCCACTTCCCCCCCCCACAAGAATACAGAGCATCACTTGCCCCAGACTGAGAGTTCCTATCTATCTGTTGTTGTTGTTCAGTCGCACAGTCGAGTCCGACTCTTCGCGACCCCATGGACCAGCTCCCGCCAGGCCACTGATGGACCTCTGTTCCATTTGTTTATCTCATTCCCTCTTGAAGCCGTCCATGCTTGTAGCCACCACCACCTCCTGCTGCGGTGAATTCCATGTTAATCACTCTTTGGGTGAAGAAGTGCTTTATCTGTTCTAAACCAACTGCTCAGCAATTTCATGCAATAAGGGGGCAAAGTCGTTTTTTCATGGGGAGGAGTGATCCCCCTGTATTGTAAAATGCATGCAAGAATTTTGAAATGCTAGACATGGCACATATAAGGGTTTTTTGCTGGTCTTGGTATAGTATGTGGAAGTTTTTATTAACTTTTCAAGTTGATCATGTTATCAAAATAACTATGAACTAGGAGTGAGCTCCGACTCACTAAAGTTCATGCTCAGTGTTTAAAATGCCAGTGGACTTTTATTATTTTAAAAATAGGTCATTCTTATTTTGAGTCCTTGTGCTTTCCTCTCTTAAAATTACTCATAGGCCATTTCTGCACTCTTTTAATCCATATTCACCACAGTGCCCTCCAAAAGATTCTGTAGTAAAATCAAGTTCAACCTTCTTTTTATTGTCGCCCCCTCCTCCAATTCTGCATTATAATATCTCCCTTCAGTGGTCAGCAGAGTTTCTGCCTCCTGTTGCCCCGGGTTATTTGGACGCTGTTTTGCTATGGACTTAAATTATCTCGAACACTGAGAAAATGAGTGGCAGGCAAATGTGGAAAGGACCACCAAGCAAACAGCAGATGTGTTAAGCCTTTAGTCTGTTTCTTCAGAACCTAGGATGCTCATGCTGGGCTCTGTAGACTTTAGCGCTTAGAAACCTGTCATCAGCTTGGCCACAGATACACACAAAAAACATTCAGTCCATTCTAAACTACACAGTCCCTAGCAGGTGGGTATAGTATGATGTAGTGTGGTTAGGTTTTGGACTACAATCTGGAAGACCCAGGTTCAAATTCTCTCTCTGCTATGGAAGCTTGCCTTGTCCCAGTCACATACTCTCAGCCTGACCTACCTTACAGGATTGTTGTGCAGATAAAGTGGAGAGAAGTATGTAAGTGGCTTTGGGTCCTCATCAGGAGAAAGATGGGTATAAATATAGTAAAGAGCTGTATGAAGAAAGAGCAGTGACACCCCTCTCTGAAAGAAAGGCAAGTGGGTTGCTAGAATAACCAGTAGGTGAAGGGAATGGCAGGCAAAAATTTGTGTGGAACTAAAAGGCTTCTTAGAGATGCTTTACAGTAAACAATGTCATAGAGGCTGACAGTAAGCGGTGTAAACCATGCTCAGATTGATATCAGTACAACAGAATAATTGTACAGTGTGTTTCTGTATTATTTTTGATGCTAGAACATCAAGGTGTCCACAGGTAAGCACGAGGATGGATGTTTCAGTAATCCATACAAACACAGAATCTTACAAAAACTGTAAGACTTTAGCAGTAAAGATGAAAAGGAGTTACTCCTTTTCATCTTTATCACCTCTTGTAATGTCTACAAGACACCCTTATCCAAAGTACCCCATATTCCCCACATATCTGGGAACTGCAGTCTCCCAGGAATATGCCCGTGTTTTTTTCAGGCCCGTATCTTCTCTTCAAGGTGCTCATCTGTGTACACACGAGCAACTGACCCGTTTTTCTGCCACATAAAGTATTAACTAGCAACTCATCTCAAAATGCACGGTCTTTACCTATAGCGTTCAAGTGGGGCAAGTTCTTCATTCTTCATTGCTTCAGCAGCTTGCAAACAGGGTCCATGTGAGAGCACATAATACACCACTGAGGGTGACATTCACCCTCTTCCCGTCCTGTTGTGTCTTTTACACCCCCCTTCTGAAGTTTTGCTGAGAACTGTTTATCTTCTGTCTTCTTTTAGAAGTCCTGTCCCATTCTGTCACCTAATGATGAATGTGACCATCTGCCTTACTATTTATTGCCTAACTGCAATGCGACCATTTGCTCCATTGATTTTTAGCAATATATGTAGATGGTGCCATGCCCCCAATTCATTTGTGACTTCTGACTACCCACTAACAATGATGTTGCTGTTGACTAACACATGATGAATCAGTTTTTTTGTATCACTATCCAATAATGCTTACATTTATCTTTACTTGATATCAATCTCCTTCATAAATTTTTGTTAAGATGGGGAGGGAGGATGCAGATTTCAGTGGCAGGACACTTGCTTAGCATATTTAAGGTGCCATCAAGTCTTCATAAATGGCATCTCAAGTTGAAAGAATCTGAGACAGTAGGGATAAAAAAATAACTATGCTACCACTGACCTAAATGGACCAGTAAACTTGGTGTAAAGCAGCTCTCCTGCACGCACATTGCCTCTGCCTCCTTTCAATATTAACAATGATAGTGATGCATCTTTAACTTTTTTTCTTGAAATTGCATTCCCTTGTACTTTGGGGCTGAAGCCTAGCCTATACATATAGCAGGTGGTACCTGAGGCAGCAAGATGCTGAAGAATGGATTGTACTACTTCAGCCTAGAAATGAGGGATTACATTTTCCAGAGTTCAAAAGTCAGTTTTCCACTTACAGGGAACACCACTGCACATGAAGAGACAAGATATAATACTTTCCTTAAATTTACAGGGACTTTACATGGGGAAAGCATTCAAATGTAACTATCCATGGCTATAGTTTGTGATGGTACATTTGACCAGCTCAATATTTTACTGCTGCGTTATGTACAGCAGCTCATAGTGAATATGGCCTCAAAGCATTCTAGCAGTTCGAGTAACTAAAAGGACTGGTAAGGTGTTACATCTTCACATTTTAGGCTGACATGAATTTGGGCTTCATTCTGTTTACTGTTTGACTATGTGGTTTTGATATACAAAATCAAATGAAGCTTCCTTCTCAGAATGACTATAGCTTAGACATCAACATACAGCTATTATGAGGTTTTTATGATATGTAATAACAGTCTAATGTCATTTGAGAATTTTCACATCTTTATTCCACTGCAGACTGAAAACATGACGGAGATATCCCATTTTTTGTCAGGTTGTTTACCAAAGAAAACCCACAGAAAAACAAAGAGACTATTTTACAATCTGGGGAAAAGACTTATACACATATAGTAGCTGGATCAATCTCGCCATGTACTTCCTGGCCGACACTTTCACCAGAAGCCAAATGAGTCTTCCTCTAATGTTCCTGCAGTAATAATGCTGTTTCACGATCATTATGCACTCTGCTTAAATGTTATAAATGGATATCTAGTGTTTTACAGAGACTATATTTATTATGCATGTAAATTCTGAAACAACATACTGAACATGCTTATGTTAAAGGTAGCTTTTTCACTACAATTTACCTCTTTCTGTCGTACGCCTAAAGGGACGTGCATTTGGAATGTAGGACAAATCTTCTTTTAGAAAAGAGTGTGCAGAAGGTCAAGCTACGTTTAGTGCTGTTGCACAAATAGTTGAGGCATTTCCCCATTAGCAGTAAGGGTATGTGGACGGAGAAACGTAGCACCTGTTAAGCTACAGCTCTACTTGTCAGATCTAGATCTGTTCAGAAGAGAACTCCCATCGTGGTCTAGAAATGTGAATGTATGAAATAATTAATAAAACCCCAACACCAACCTGCATATACCTCCTACTTACACTCATTCTTCAGAAAACAGGATATACTATAGTTTTCAAACCTGATTCACAATCATTTTTGTGAAACCATATTGCAACCCATTAGCCTGTCAGTGCTATTCACATGCTGACAAGATTCACTAAGTGGCTGAGTCATTGTTAACTGAAATATCAGTATCCCACCCCAAATCAGACCAAGCAATTATTACACTACAATTTAAATGTAAGCCACACAAACAAACAACAAAAACTAAGGAAAATACTAACTCCAGCATACACTTGAGATTTAGTACTGATTTATTTTTTAAAAATGCTGCCTCAAGATTTAGATGTGCAGACCTAGGGTTTACTTCAGAATAAAACACAGTTGTGGAGGGGCAACGAAGTACAGTTCTCAAGGTTTCAACCATATTGTTTGGACAATGCAAAATTACATTGCTTATACAAACAGTAAATATTTTTAAAAATTGATCATGACAAATAGTATTGTATTTTTCTACTTGCTTCTGTATAATCATTAACAGCTACTATTTAGTGAATCACTAAAGAATTAAAACAAAAACCTAAACTACTCTCCAATGGTAAAATTTAAGTAAAATGCTTACATTCATTTGACGACAAATAGTCATATTAAAAATTGCTGTGTGGATGGTGCATAAACTTTCAGTTGGATCGGGTCTTCAGAGTTATTCCTGTGCAAAAGATGTAGAATATTTGCACTATATTATTACAGAATTTTAAACCATTTGAAATTCAGGTAAGAATGTTATATATTTCATAAGCAAGAAAATTTTCAAAGACTTGAGAAACCAGAACTGCCTACCTTTTCTTCTTTGCGTCTCTCTTTGTCTTCATTTTCCACTGTTTCTTCTTCTTCTTCCACAAGCCCATCCCCTTGGTATTTGTCATGAGTCCACTTTGGACTGCTACCTGATTTTTTGAAGTTAAATCTTCCTCTGCCACGCTGGAAAGTGCCCCGACCTCTTCCTCTTTTGGCCCAGTAATCCACACCATCATCTCTATCATCATGCTAGAACAAATATGGAGTGAACAAAGAAAATTAAAGCACTAACACGCTTTACTGAGAGCAGCTTCCAAAGAAGCACCTCAAACTATTCAGCCTCCTAGTCTGTAGCTGAGTCATTTGTTGTCAGTATTCTGCAACACACACACACACACACAGTTACCTTACTCTTAGTCAGGCCTTTGGGCCCATCAAACCCAGTGCTATATATACTAAAGGGCAGAAAGCAGCTCTTCCTTATCTCAAGAAGCGTCTTCCAATTCCGCTACCTGGGATCCTCTAACTGGTGACAGAAGCATGTGCTCTATCATTGAGTTAAAGGCCCATCTCTAGTTAGTCACTGATTTAATAGGAGAGACAGTTATACTGGTCCCAGCGCTTTAGCTTATTCTTAGGTATTTTTGATGCAAATATATATATTTTAGTTCTTAAAAATACACGTTTACAAAAAGTTCTAAAGCTTTGCTTGCATTGCTGGAAATAATCTGTTTAACTGACCCATCTTGGAAATGGTGGATTACATCCACCAGTATTAGTATATGGATTGTAACTACCAAGTTGAAAAATTTTGAATGTATCAATTTTTCGGACAAGAAACTTGGTAGATTTTTCTTAGAGGAAAAAAATATAGGAAAAAGACCACATACATCCTTTGATTTTCATATACGAAAATCTGCCAACTGACTACCAATCACAGTCTAGCATATGCGGGTGAGAGAGTTCAAGGCACTGCTACAGGTACAAACTGACTTTGTTCTCAAAACCAGTGGCCTTTGGTCTAAAACCAGCTGGAGCACAGCTGAGAGACAGCATAAGTAATTCTCTCTCCAAACACTGGGATACATACAGTCAGCAAACCAATGTTATCCTTGAAAAGAACCCCTTTACCATTCATTGCTATGAGACAAAGTGCTGCACTTCACGCTAATATTGAGGTGGGAACTAAACTTGCCCAGCACTGGGTGGTCTGGTCACACATGTTCTCATTTAGGAACAATAAAAGCATTCTTTCTACAAAGCCTGACACCAGTATTTGGTTTATGAAAATAAGTTGCAGGGCAAGAATTGAAAAATAAAGTATGTCCCTTACAGAGATTAACTCAATGACAGAAGGGAAATTAAAGGAGCAGGTAAGATTGAACCTCTTCTTTCTTCCACAGCCTTTCAAATTTGAAGAGCCCTTGCTAACTTTAAATAATGACAATACAATGTATAGCAACAATACAAGGGAATTTGTTTTTGTATTTTTTCGTGTGTGTGTGTGTGTGCACCTGGAACTCATGGCGACCTCTGGTGACTGACCCCTAACTGGGGGCCTGGAGGATATGCAGAGAGGTGGCTGAATAAAGCCAGCCCCCCGCCTCCCAGCTGCTGGTATTCCAAGGGGGTCTCCCATCTAAGTACTTGCCAGAGTCGACCAATGCTCCCTCTAAGCTGCAGTCTCTTGTGAGCAAAAATTCTACTTTGTGAGCTACTGGCATCAAAGTTGTGAGCAAGTGACTTGGCTACTACATAAATCAGTTTGCTCTGGAGCCCTCCTTCCTGAGCTAAGACAAAATGTGTGAGCCAAAGGCTAAAAAACTGTGAGCCAGCTCACACTAACTCAGCTTAGAGGGAACACTGGAGTCGACCCTGCTTAGCTTCCAAGATTGGGCTTGCCTGGGCTATCCAGGTCAGGGCTAATACAAGGGAATTTCAAAGGTTACAACCAGCATTATTCAGGTTACTTATGTAATTAGGATAGCTTTAATCTCTATACTTTATTCCCCACAGAGCTCTAAAGCGACGCAGATTGAATTGAAGTATGTTGGGCAAAGGCAGTATTTGAATTTTTATATTGCAGCCAGTATTTGATAGATCTCTTCCTTTCAAAAAGGGCAGATAAGAAACTGTTAAAAAGAAATTTCTTCTAAAGCATGCCACAGATTTTGTTATGCAGATGGCTATTAAAAGGTCTGATGCTGTCAGCATAGCTCCTTGAAAGTGACAGAAGTAGCACTAAATTTGGGTTCCATGAAATTATCTATACAATAAGCTTTGAGAAAAGATGCATGCATAACAGTATAGCACCCACCAAGAAGTATTTCTTGCTTTTAGGGGTATATTCAGGATCCCATTCCTCCTCCTTCGGTCTCTTTTGAAAAGCAGTATTTGAGTTACTGGGACCAGTATTTATTCCAGCAAACACGCCTCTGGCTCTTCCTCTGCCCCTAATTCGAAACTGATTGACCAAAGCATTTATGTATTTAATTAACTCACACAAAGCAAATTATAACTTTGAACTACATTAACCAAAATGCTTTGTTATAATCCTTCATCTAACACCATACATAGAAATGAATATGCTCAAGAATCCATGTGTAGGATTCTGCAGCTACTTTAACACAATTGTATTTACGGTCTAGCATTTGTGTATTTTGTAGTTGGGGGACAGTAGATTTATCTAGGACACCCACTTTCAAAAAGCAGTATCTAATAATGAAAAAATGTCTGCTTTTGACTATCCACAGAATATTTGCAGAGATCCACTGTGCCTGGCAGCACAACTCAAAACAAGCTATGATGGATCCCCACAGAGAAGCCTGTGAAAGGAGCCGGAAAAGCAGATCCTTCCCTGCCTTTCCTGTCCTCTGACAGCCTGCTGCTTATCCCCAAAAACCCTTAGAGGGACCCCCTTTGTGAACAACATGAACAATGGATGCAGTGAAAAGAGGGAAATGAAACTGCCTCCTCCCAAAAACAATTTCTTCCAATTCCTCTTCTTCACTGCAACCCTCCCTTCTATAGTGAATTTTGTTCATGAGGTTTCCCCAACCCTCAGAAAATGGCAGGGAAATATCAAATTCCTCCACAAGCTTTTTTGTGGGGTCCAGCTTTTAGGTTAGAAGAAATTATACACATGTTATAGAGTGACTAATGCTCTCTGGGTGTATGTGTCTGCGATCAACCCCAGCAGTTAGTCTGGTGGTCTACAATATTCAAAAGGGGGGAAAAGAAGCAAGCAGAGCGTAGAACTTTAAATGTATTTGAGTTAGATATGAGAGACTTCAAAAGGAATAAAATAATTGTTCTCAGTAACTTTTAATTAACTAATTTTGAGAAACAGTCTTTACCTATTTCATTACTAGACTAGCAAAAGCAACTTGTTTTGACCAACTTGTTGCTTCTTGTTACATTCAACAGCTTTATTATCTCGTGTAGACGTTTGCAGTTGGGACTAGTACACAGCCCAACACAGCTTACAGAAAAATAATATTCCCCCTAACTACCTACTATGTAGCTCTTGGGGAACCAGACCTCTGCAGAGCTACTAGAAACAACAACACTGTATTGTGTGGTGCTAAGATTTGTGTAGGGGGATAATAGAAGAGAGGCAGAAACACTGTCAGGAAGCAGCATATGATGCTAAGAGTTTCGACTCTTAATAATACAATCTTAAGCAGAGTTATCCCTTCTAAGCCTATTGACTTCAGTGGACTTAAGTATGGTGGTATGCTTATAACGGTACCATTAAGCTTGTGTACTTGATAAAATCAAGACACTATAAGAAGGTTTTTAGTTGTTCTAGAGAGCACACAATAAAACATTAAAAAGTAAAGCACAAGGAACTGAAGTCAATGTTTTAAAGTCTCATAATTTTAAAGGCCTCATGCTTATAATTTCAAGATTTACTAGTTTTGCAGCTATGTGGAACCCGGCAACCAACCACCTTTCTTGATGAGTTCAGTCTGAGTGAAAGTTACCCTCGCTTAGTTATTCTTGTAATGTTATACACATGCAATAAGAAAAGATCATATTCCTCTCCATCAAGACACTTCCATGTTTAAAACACATGCCCCTTTGGTGAAGCAGAATATGCTGTAGCCAGTATCACAGAACAACTGTTTTACATATTAGTCTGTCATACCAGTATCATACAACAGAAGGTTTTCACAGATTAGTTACTTTATGAACATCACAGACCAGACTGCACAGTCCTCTATTAATATGGTTAGGTTGCTTTCCCCATTTTAACTGAATCCGGAAGGCAATACTTTGCCATCTCACCAAGAGTGCCTTGCTTATTTCTTGCCTATGTTGCTTATTTGCCTCTTCCTTGAAGATCATGAGCTCCTGAACATGTTCCAGCGTTAACAGTGTGTGAATTACACTATCGACATATTAATGTATCTTTGAACTCCCACGGTATGCAGATAGTTACTGTTTTAAAGTTATACTGCTGTGGCCTTCCTCAAACTCTTTGGTATTCACTTCAGTACTAATTGTAGATAGATTTTCGAGACTCCCAGCAAAGGTTTTTTTTAAAGTTAAAATTAAAAAGCAAGCTGCCAGGGCCTATCCTTTTTGGTTTAAAGTCAGATTTTCTCGACAATTGCCATTAAAAAGAGAGAGAGAAACACAGCAAAGCAAAGCTGCAGAAAAGTCCACAGAAGATAAGTTATAAAAAGAAATATGAACTAGTGTAAAAAAATGAGTGAAGGAATAAACGTAGCAAAGTATGTGGCTGCTTAGTTTAGTTAAATCTGCCATTTTTTAAACTCAGAACTATGCAGAATATTGTGTGAAAACATATCCCTATCCACTTGAGTTTGTATAGAAAGCATTGTATGATGAACACCCCATCCCTGGAAACTGACATTTCCAAGAAGGAAGAACTTCTTCCTATCATATACTTTTCAAATAAAAAACAAGCAACCTCTGGGAATTTAATATAGTAATAATTTTTTGAAGCAGAAAAAGTATAGCAGAAACTCACAAATGTGCCTCTAGGTCTTCCAACTCCTGTAAAACCAGAGTATTCTTTTTGTTCATGATGAGGTTTAAACTCTTCATCTCTTTCTTTCTTGCATTCTTTTTCTTCTCGGGAACTGGATGAAGAGGAAGATGGGGAGGAAGTTGAGGAAGATCGAGAACGGTCTTGCTCTCTTTTTTGTTTACTGAAAAATAAGAAACCATACTGGTTGCTGTAGAATCCTATACAACTGCTTTCTGTAGTCTCAGAGGCTACCCTCTCCTCTTGGTTGATACTAATGTGGAGTTTTATAGTGTTACGCTATCCATCTTCCATATATAACTTTTTGAACAGTTTATGGCTCCTTAACAGTTGTTGCTAAGCAGAAACAGCTAGTTAGCTAACAAAACTGTATTTTAGAAAAAAATATGCAAGGAAGAATCCTGAGAGGTAATGTGTCTGAAGTGATGCTATTTCATTCATTTTCATATCTTACCAAGAATAGCAAAAAACTGATTTTGCCCTTTCACAATATGGGCACAAGGTACAGAATTAGTCAGCAACTGATACATGAATGATCATCAGTGTAGGAAAGCAAACAGAAAACAGAAGTTCAAATAAATCCATGATTACACAAGTGGAAGAGCAAGAAAAACAATGTATATATGATTCTTGTATTCAACTCCCCATGGCAAAGACATCTGGCATTGATTTGACCATATTTATATATATTAATACCAAGCCCAAAAGGTGGATATAACTTTTACAATGATACACTGAATAAATTGCTTTTAAAGACTAACCTGTTTAAGTAGACCCCACTCCCTGTCCTGAGAAAAAAACCTCTCCGCCCTCCCCATGTTAACCTTATACATCAGTAAAAAAAAAATCTCAGTCTGGGTGTTATGAGTTGAAAAAGTGCGGAATCAAGCATAACGAACCAAAGTTCTTACACAAACTGTTTACAGAAATGTACTGCATTGAAGTCCAACCTCCTGATGTAGCCTGGATAATAGGACAGATTAATTTGTCATTTTTTTCAGTGTTAGCTTGCTATTCCAAAGTTTTTGTCCTCATCCACCATAAGCCGTGTAAAAGACAAATACATTTTTGCTGTAAAACAAATAATTTTAATTGTTTAAATTTAGATGTTCCATTGTACAGTGAAAACTGAAAGCAATTAAGCTTACATTTACAAAAGTCTAATTAGAAGCTAAAAACCTAGTTAGAGCAGTTAAATCTTTACCTGTCTTCTTTGTAAGGTTTATACTCCTTGTAATCTTTTGGAATTTTCTCCTGCTTTCTTGATCCACTGGATTCCCTGGAACCTTTAGAGTCTCCTCGTTCTTTACTTCGTTCTTTTCTGCGACGGTCGATGTCATGTCGAAGGTCAGCGGCGTCACACTTTAATTTTTTATCTCCCTAAATCAGAAACATTTCAGGGAAATTGTTTTAGCATTCAAACACTGACAGAATGCAGCGTTAAGTAACCTCTTACTTAACTATGGGTAGCACCCTCATCCCACCCTGGCAGTAGGCGCATCTACTCATACAAAACCGGAGAGTTCCACAATTTCTGTGGCTTCTCTCCAGTAGCTGCAGCCACCTGTGCTGCATCTTACACCATTCCCAAAGGTCCCCCAACAAAAGTAGCTTTTTTGGGGAAACGCAGAGGCTGCAAAAAAAAAAAGAGGGATAAGGGAAAGATTGGCTGTGAGCTCTGCTCACAGTACTCTGTCTTACTTATTCATTAAAAATATTTAGTGTCTTTTTCATGCTCAAAGGAGTTTGTATCGAACCCACTACCAGCAACTGTGCACTCCTTTCCCCCGAACCAGCCTATTGGGGAAAAAAAGTTAATTTCCCAAGGTCAAGCTAAAAGTCTACAGGAACAACACTTTGATACAATTTCTTTTTTGCTGAAACATAGAAATTGCTGAATTCAGCTACTCTGTGGAAGAAATTGGTAATAAATGTGTTCTCTATTTGCCAAGAACAAGGAATACAGTATTTAATCACTACATGTCAAATTATTAAACAGTATGATTAAGGCTACACACAACTGGCCCACCACATCCATCAAAAATTATTAGAAATGGAACAGGCTCAACAATGATCTAGGGTATAAAAACACAAAATAAAATCTTAAAGGAAAACAACCCTGGGGAATTATCTCAGATTACACTGATTTTTTTTTTAATGGAGACTAAAATAGCACCAATTTGAAACCTACTTTCTGACTTTCTTCTTTAAAGGCTCTCTCTTCTCCCGCTAAACGGGTGTGTTTCCTCAGGGCACTTGGAGAGATGTCAATCCTCCTAAATGCAAGATTTTTAAAAGTAATCATTATGGCTGCCAATATTCATCTCTCTCAAGTGGAAAACTGGAAACACAAAAGGAAAAGTACCATTGTGCAATCCAAAAATCAAGCCAGGTTATTAATTTTTAAATATACATTTCCCCAAACACAGAAACATTCAAATAAAACCAAAATATCAACAATTATACATTTCACTGAACTTTTAAAAACTGTAGCAGAATATAAACCAGATGTCTTGAAATTTCTGCAGTACAGAAATGCAGGTGAGGAAATTTTCACCCTCCAATCAAGTGAAAGCTGGACAAACACTGCATCCAGAAAAATTGTAATTCAGTTATGTTTCAATGATTCAAAAATACAATCAACAATACAATTATAAAACATGTTTAAGAATGTTTGCTTGTACAATCTCTTCTTACCATTTAGCAAATTTAGGCCAGAATCCAAAGAATTAATTAGGCTCACACAAGACATTTAGAGTGGAACTTTTCATTTACTTTCTATGAACAGCTGACCCTCATGCCATATCATACATTGCTTTTGAAAACTCCCCCCAGCTTCAACAGTAGTTTTGCCTTGTGGTATGAGAGGCTGTTATTGGAGAAGCAGAAATCTACTTGGGTTGACAGAATGAGTTACAGAATTCTTTTGATCCTGAGCATGAAATATAACATAACCCCCCATATATACAATTTACACCAAATAAAATGATGGTATATAAACATATAAAAGTATTAGTACATATTTCACACAGCATTTTCTATTAGTAAAGAATATTAACAATTCAGTATGTACTACCATACAGATATTGAACCTCGCATCCGAACCTCTGCCCCATTCTTCTTCCAATTTTTTTAACTTAAAGAGAAAAATAAATGGCTGGTTTGCTAAGAAGTAATATCTCATTTGATACATGGGCGGAATATTTGTTGGTTCAGGAAGGCAAGTAGCATACGGAGCAATAAGATACCACACCTGTGAATTTCTGGACTCTTTTGCCGGGTGCTATGTTCTTCAGTAGCCTTCTGATAAGCAGTGAACCAACACTAGGGTCATGCCAGCCGACTTGAAATATTGTTCTGTTGGTTGTAGAGGACACATACTGTCTAGTTAACATAGATATGTCTATACATGGCACCCTACTAGAATGTAGAACAGGCAAAATAGTTCATAAAATATGGCAAAGGTTAAATTTTATTTTCAACCTGTTTCTCAGTGAACGTCAACAAGCAGCAAATACTACCTTGTACAGTTTTGCTTACAATTATGTGCTGCCAGTACAATTATTAAGGCACCATTATCTGTGTAATAGGGAAAATGTCTGTTTACACTGGACATCTTAAAGGTTTGCCAGCAGAAAAATATTGCAATGTATCATTAGTATTTACATTAGAATTACAACATTTTTTAAAAGGTTATCTATTGCATGAAGAACTACATATTCTTGATTTGGTAAATTAATAATGCCATCCTACACACACTAATTTGGAACTAAGCCACCTTGAAGTCAGAAGACTCACTTCCAAGCAAAAATATATAGGATTGAGCTGCACAAGCCCTGATTAAACACACACATACACAAACATATTTTCTTCTTTTTAGAAGACCATATATTAAAGAAGACTCCCATAGCTGAGTATGTTTAAATCTCTGGCATCTTGGCAACCTTGACAGTTTTTTTAAAGGGCTTTTAAAAAAAATTTAACCACTGACCATTACATTAGTAACAGAACCACTACAGTTTGAAAGACCAGTTCAACAGATGTGTTTAAATGTAGAATAGAAAAAATGTATAAAATTATAAAGGATTATGAAATGTCACATATAAAGCAAGCTATCCGCTTAACAGTACATCTGTATCAACTTACCGCCCAACATCCAGCACATCTCTCATAACCAATCATTAAAACTTGATATGGCCACTACAAGGGTAGCGCCTCAATCATAATTCCATCAAACACAGGAATTTGAGCTAGCAACTCAGTTTTTTGTGCCATTTTTGCCAGGAAGATAGAAGGTTCAACTTTGCCTGTTTGTGCATCTGTTATCTTTCAACAGCTATTTTACTTTTGTAATATGGATTTTGCCATTTCAAAACACATTCCAGGACCTAGTTGCAATGAAAAAGAAAACATCACTGGGCATTTTCAGCTCTATATAAGTAAAGAGCTGTTCATTCTATCTTCATTGCACCAATAATGTAAAATTACTACAGTTTTACCAAAATGTGATCCACACAATCTTTTTGAAGTGTGTAGAAATAGTTAAATAACTTCTGAAGCAAATCATGATTTACACACATCAATAACTTGGCCACAGACTACAAAATAGCTAGCTATCTGGTCATATGCTGTATTTTATATACTACATTAAAATATTCCATTTAAATTATATATTTGCCATCATAATGTTGAAGGATTTAATTTGTAAGCTCCATTTATTCACTTCAACTCTTAGTAAGAAATTCAAAAATTTGCTATTTTAGAACAGTATAAAACCAGACAGTTTCCCAAGTATTCCAGGCAAAAATCTTCTTGGCCAAATATGTACATTGAAAGTAATTCCAGATCACCAGAAAAAAGGTAAGTTTATCTGTGTGCATAAACTGAAGTGTTGGAAGTTCTGCTTAGCACATTGACAAAGATCAAAACAATGCAAACCATGTACCTGCTCTACAGATAGACATCCTACCTAAACTCTTCTTCATCTATAAACAATTGGCAAGTACAAAGTCAGTACATTAAGAAAAAGTAAAGTATAAAAGAAATTTTAAGGAAGTTCCATTAACTATATTGTTTATCCAATCAATTCCATTTCCCCCTTCCACCTCTATCAGATCTGCCTGAGTAATATTACCCAATCTTGCATTAAAATCACCAGTGATAATTAAATTGGTCTTATGGACTTCATTGCATATATTTTCGATATAGTTTTCCACTGCCATCCAATTTTGATTTAGTTGAATTAAACTTAGGGATGGGGGGAATATAAACTATGATTACAACAAAATAATTATTTTCCATCTGAATTTTCACTGCCATAGCCAAAGATTAACATGGTTTCAACGTTGACACATTTACCATCAGAGAGGAGCAAACAAGACATGCCAAGCCAGCACTAGCTCTCCCTTTTCAACCAGTCTTTCTTGCCAGTGAGCAAAAGGAGACATAACCTGGGAGAAAAGTATGTAGCCCATGTTTCTTGTAAGGGTAATATGGAATTGAGTTACATATTCTGTAACCTCAAAGGAATTGTACTTTATTAGCCCATCCTGCAATATTCCATGAACACATCCTTAGTATGAATTTAGGTCGATTTTTCAGTCACACATTATTAGCCAAATCTAAGGAGACAATATCTTGATCGAAGAGAATGCTAACATTTGAGACTGGGTTTTTCCGGCAGGTTTTCTGTGCTTGGATTTGGATCACCAGCTTTTTCAATACCAGAGACATTATTTTCCTTTGAACTAATTATACTTGGGCTGTATGTATAAACAAATTGTTGTTTTTAGAATTTCTATTAATATTATCACCTTGCCTAATCCCTGCAAGAGTCTGCTGCAGTTTTCCTAATTTTTGTTCAATAAATTGCTGTTCCTCCACCGGAAGATGGCTGAAAATAGCTAGCAGACTTTGTTCCTGAAGATCTATTTCCCCCACTTCCTTCTCTATATCTATCTCAAAGGGGCTATTTTACTCATCTGCTACAAGAAGGAGTGGTTTGAATTTTGATTATAACCCATCTTCTGGCCTAATGGGATTTCTAGATCAATTACTGGGGACTCTTTTTTGCCTTCTTCTGTAAGGGTGGTTGTTCTAGCTTTGATTTAATCAAGGACTTTTTAATTAGATTGTTAAAAGCTCTTGTCAAGTGGATTTTAGGTTAAAAAAAAGTCAGAATATACTGTCCTCCACAAATAGGGCCCTGAATGTTTTCTATGCATTTCAGATCTATGTAGGGGACAGGCATACCCAACAAATAAGAGAAATGGCACAGACTTCCCCCCACCAATTTATCCATCTGCCTGACAGGGAAAAATCGTGACCACCACCTGAAATCTATTTAATTGTAGTCTATCCTTTCCTTCAGGGGCAGACATAGAGAGGGTGTTACCCAGAAAGGGCTTCCTCTTTGCAGGATGTTTTCCATTAACTGCCTTAGAGTAGGGGCACTTCCCCAAAATCTGAGCTGGCTCATTCTGCTACTTTATGGAAGAATTCAATAAATAATCAGTTATAAACGCCAGTTCTTCATATATTAGTTCTAAAGTATCAGCTGTAATGATAGTCTGAGTGGCTAATAAATCAAGTGCATCTGTTTTCCTTTTGATTTGGGATTCCATACCTACACTTAATAGAGAAGGTCCATCTTCTGGATCCTGATTTAAACTAAGTCCCACATTCACATCAGAATCATTCTCCAAAACCTCAAACAGATTTTTTTAGTGGCACTGAGGGCAGTTTGTTTATTAAAAGTTCTCCAATCTACTTTGCTTAGCTTTTATAAAAGGTTCATTGTCAATCTGTCCTGCCTAGTTTTTTACTCATTTTAACAAATGAAAAGAAAGAGAACAGCCCCTTTCTAAACTAGGTAATAAACTAACCAAACCCGTAGTCTTCAAGGTGGAGGGAGGAATGAGGAAATAGAAAGACAAGCCAAGGTCAGCCAGACTCTACCTTAAACACACACACACACACCCTCACTAAACACACCTTCAAACTACAAATAAAATATTAAATATAACTAAAGGTAAAGGTTCCCTTGCTCGAAAGCCAGTGGAATCCGACTCTAGGGTTGCGGTTGTCATCTCCGTTTCCAAGCCGAAGAGCCAGCGCTGTCCGAAGACGTTTCCGTGGTCATGTGGCCGGCATGACTAAACACCAAGGCGCACGGAATGCTGTTACCTTCCCACCGAAGTGGTACCTATTTATCTACTTGCAATTTCTTGCTTTCGAACTGCTAGGTTGGCAGGAGCTGGAACTAGAGACGGGAGCTCACTCCATCATGCGGCACCCGGGTCTCGAACTGCTGAACTACTGACCTTCCACAGCCTGCAGTTCAGCGTCTTAACCACTTGAGCCACCGCAGCTCCTAAATATAACTAATAGGAGTCTAATAAAATAAATACAAACTAGTAACAGCCTAAAAGGCCTAAACCAACCTAAACTGAGCTCAACTGAAAAGAGTTAAATTAAAGTCTGCACGCAGCTGCAGCCTCCCTTTCCCAACGTCAAATTACAAGGGAGAAGACAAAAGGTTGTCAGGGTTTAAACTAATACATCTGAAAGTGCAAGATAGTCAGGAGACCACAAAAAGAAAAAAGATGAAATAAATAAAGCTAAAGAACTGCTAGAAACACCCCCACCACTCCCTACATGATTAAATAATAGGGAGTGAGACAAGGAAACCAGCTGAACTCAAAAATAATCACCCACAAGGCAGTCCAAATAAAGGGGGGGGGTGAAAGGAGCATCTAAAATAGACTTATAATAAACAGAAAGAAAACAGAAGCAAATAGAAACCGAAAATTAGAAAATAAAGCTCCTTTAAACAGAGCACAACCTAAAAGCTTCACCCAGACTAGCACCAGAAACCAGAAGTCTGGTTGGGATCTTTGACAGTTGACCTATAATAATACAATATTTAATTAAGCAATGTTTAACCTGTATAACTAACATTATCAGAATGCTCCCCAAACTAATGGATTATTCCAACTACAATGAAAATTGTAGCTCCTGAAGAAAATAGTCATAAAGCAAAGTAAAGAAAAAGTTAACAAATCCTAGTTATTACTTGCTCTGGCTGAGTGAGTCTTCCTTCTCGGCAAGCAAGCTGCCAGATTTACTGCTCAAGCTATGTATGACACATCGTTAAATTAAGGGTTGATAAAATGTTTCTACATTTCTGTTAAATGACATTAAGTTTCTATCACTTTAAAAAAATGGTTGACAAAATATTTTCACATCCAAGGTAAATATTAGAATGCTTTGGAATACCCAGCAAATGTTCTTAAATGTTCTTAAGCTTTGTAGTCAAGAGAATAATGCCTGGTACATTTTGTATTCTCTCATCCTGAGGGGCCAGTTACTAGTGCTCTAATTTCAGATATTAATATTAGTTCACATGCCTTGGATTACATACATACATTTTAATGTTCTGGAAGTTCCCTAACAATTTTGATGCTCACTGAATACTATTGATTTCTCAGCCCCTAAAAACAAACCTAGTTCACCACTAGCACAACGCTAAGAGTTGTGGGTGTCAGACAATCTGAGTAGGTGCCAGACAACTTGTGGGTGCCAGACAATCTGAGGATCTCCTGGGTATTCTACACACAATGCCATAAAATAATTATTATTACTATCAATCCCAAGCAATTTTATATATAAATTTCAAAATTCAACAATTTATGGCTTCCGTGCTTTTCTTTACAGCCCACTCCTTTTCAGATCGCTCCCAATGCACTCTTCCTTGCAACCCTGCAAGCTAATCAAGCTAGCTGCCACTCTGTGTAGTCCATCTGCACAGATGCTGTGCTAGTCTGTATCTACTCTCTAAGCTTTCTAAATGATGCAGGATTGATGTCATGTCTACAGTTTCTTGGCACAGGTTAGGGGGAGTCTGTACCAGAGAAGGGGCCCTGCTTTGGGAAATCAAGGATATGTTGCGTTACTTGCCATTATTCATATTCCTGACAAAATAAGGTATTCATACACATGCTATTTGTCCTCCGGCCAGCACTGCTGCTACTCACATTTTGAGGATACATGTTTCTGGAGCACGGCCTTACAAGGAGTACAAGGAATAATGCCACATTTAGAATTATAGACAGAACTACTAATTTTACCACCCCCATTATCCCTTCCATGCAACACCATTTATAATTGATGCTATGTTACTAGCACAGATTTCACTGGCTGGCCTAAGTTCCCTGTACAGCAAGCAAGGGATTGGACTGCTGACTGTAACAGTGCAAGATGGAGACTGACGTGCTTGCAGGTCTACTCAGCATCCTAACTTAGCAAAGGCATTTCTTTAACATTAGGTAGGGTAGGAGCATTTAGTTGAGAGAGGCTGCATAATATCTATTGAGCAGGACAATGTGGAATTAGGAATTGTAACTAAAACTTGTACTGCATTTATCCTTTTTATTATGCCACTTACTGCAATAAACCAAAATCATCTAGCAGACAAAACAAAACCTCTGCAAATTATGGCTACAATCCAAATGTACATGCATACTATTGATACTATTGATGTACTTCATTCATACCCCACCTTTCTTCCCAGTGGGAAACCAAAGTGGCTTACATCCTTCTCCTCCTCCATTTTTCCTCACGACAACCCTGTGAGGTAGGAAAGTCTGAGAGTATGTGACCATCTCAAGGTCAGTCAGCAAGCCTCCATGGCAGCATTCTAGTCCAATGCTAACCACTATACCACACTGGGAAAGGATTTGTTTACAAAATTTATATCCTGCATAACTCTTAGACAGAAATGTATAAACTTCAGAACAAGTCTGTGAAAAGGGTGCAACTCAAAATAATTCTGAGAGCCACTTTTGTATTTTTACAACCTGTGCAAGAACTTTCCAGTAGACCTTGTTTCATATTCTACCACACAAGGAGGGGAGAAGGGTTCTGACTCACCCACGGACCTCATTTGTTTTCCTTATGTCCTGAAACAACCACTTGAAGAGGTCAGGCAGGCACCTTCTCCGGTTATTTTGCTCTAAGACATTTTTGTTCCAGAGAACTTTTTGATGATTGTAATGGGCATTTGTTGCAGCATATCCAGTTGTTAGGTAATGATTTTACAATTTAACGCTTAACAAGTTTTTATGTTGTTCCTACTTGTCATAACTAGCCTTGGTGCAGAACATAAATCTTTTAAATAAATAGTGCTACATTAGGGCATATGTATTATGATTTAACTAGTTTTTTAACCCTCTCTCTGTTATTTTTTCCTTGTGTTCCATACAATGCTGTTTCCTCTGCCTTTGCATGTGTCTGTATTTTCACTTCATTCACTCTCTACACTCCTTGTGCCATCACAGATCCATCTATACTCCAAATTACTCAAATTTTTCTTTATTTCCCTGTCCCTCTCTGCACACCCCTCTCAGTTATCCTTTCTTAGGCTCTGCATCCCATGATTTGCTCTTGTTCTCCACTCTGATGTGGTTGTTAGCTGATATTTTGGTGGGGCTTGTTGGGTCTAGAGATGAGAAGGGCCAGAAAAAGAGCTGTTTCTAATCAGAAAACTGGAAACTTTTGGGAAACACTGAAAACTCTTTTAAAATACGAAAAATTATTCTTAAGGGAAGGGTTTTCTCACTCAAAATGTACTGTATGAGGTCTGAGGGATTTTTCAATTTTTACAATGGAAAACATGGGAAATATTAAAGAACAATGAAAAAAAGCCTCCTGTGACCAATGCTCCCTCTAAGCTGTGGAATCTTGTGAGGAAAAAGTTCTACTTTGTGAGCTACTGGCATTAAAGTTGTGAGCAAGCAATTTGGCTACTGCATAAATTAGTTTGCTCCGGAGCCATCCTTCCTGAGCTAAGACTAAAATCTGTGAGCTGGAGGCTTAAAAACTGTGAGCTAGCTCACACTAACTCAGCTTAGAGGGAACACTGCCTGTGACATATTTTCTCTTTTGAACAATAAAAAATCTTGTCTAACAAACCATTTCACTCATTCCAGATGTAGAGCATGAAGAAGTCTGAGAACTTTGAGAAGCACTAAAAAAGTCTGTAGACATATGCAATATTTTCAAAATGTTTTTGTTTAAATGTAGTAATTTGTTTAATGATAATACATTATTAAAGAGTTCAGTGTTTTCATGGAGTTAATATGTGCTGTACACACCACTGCCCTTGAAGACTGTCTGGAAGTGACAGTTGGTACATTATGCTGCAGCCAGAATGATGAGTAAGCCATAGGGACCACACCACTCCAGTCTTCTTCCATCTACACTGGCTCCCAGTTCAAGATGGTGGTGACCTATACGGCCAGCACACCTGAAGGGAGTGCATACTCCCATATGAGCGTACCTGTCCTCTTGGGTAATCTCCAGAGGCCCTGCTTCGGATGCCCCACCATCTGAAGCTAGACATGCAGCAACACACACAAAGGGCCTTTTTTGGTTATGACATCAAAACTTTGGAATGCCCTCCTCAGAGAGAGTTATCTGTCTCCATTTATTGTTCTCTTCTGCCAGTGCATGAAGAATTTTGTTTTGAATTCCCCCACTCACTGTTAGTGGCCCTCCTCCCTGGTTTGTGTTATGTATATGTATATGTTTTACTACATTTGTTCAAATATTTTACATATACTTTATTTTAAATGCTATTATAATGTCTCAAATGTTTTAATGTTGAAATGGTTTAATTATTCACAGCCTTGGGGACCCTATTTGGGTTGAAAGGCAGCACATAAATGTTTTAAATAATTTATACAAATTAATATCCAAACATACTGGTAATCTCTGTTCAAATAATATATTTTATGTCAACTTTTTAAAACTCCGCAAATATGCTTATGTATGGCAGCCTGTAACCCTTTCTCAAGTATTGGTTAGACTTGTAATTTTTCCTATAGAAAATTATACTTTTAAATTCAATAAATATGCCAAACAGTACAGTTTTATATTCTATATTGCCAAGGAGTAATAGTTCTTGTCCATTAAGGGGTATGGAGGTAATACACAAGCAGTAAAGGAAAATAGATCGATTTAATTAAAATCTCCTATGATTCACAGAAAATCAAATCAGAAGAGTATCGATAAAAGATACATGCTCACGCCCCTTCAGCTAATTAGGAACCCTGGACTGACAACAGGTGGATCACCTGAACTGAACTTCACGATGAACTGTTGACCAGAGCTGTGCAGCTGGCCAGTTAAAGTGGTCTGCCCGTTGCCATTCCAGCGTTCCCGACAAGTTGAAGAGACATAAGCATATGTCTGCTATTGATTAAGCTCTCTTGTAATTCACAGAAAGAAAATCAGTACATCTATTTTCCTTCACTGCTTGTGTGTTTATTGCCTTCATCTCCCTTAGTGGACAAGAACCATTGCCCCATGCCAATACATATGCCAAGTTGTAAGTGATGCCTTTTATGTTCAATCAGTAACAGAAGTGTAAGTTTGATTGGAGAGTAACATGCATTGATTTCAATTTTCCCCCCAAATTACCATTTTTTACATAGAAGAGATTGGATTTATACCCCGCCCTTCACTCGGAGTCTCAGAGCGGCTTACAAACTCCTTTCCCTTCCCCTCCCCACAACAGACACCCTGTGAGGTAGGTGGGGCTGAGAGAGCTCTGACATAAACTGGGTTTTTTCCAAGAACACCCCTAACAGAACGATGGCTTGCCCAAGGTCATCCAGCAGCTGCGAGTGGAGGAGTGGGGAATCAAACCCTGTTCTCCCAGATTAGAGTCCATGCACTTAACCACTACACCAAACATAATTTTTTTTTCTGCATGTGGCTTCAAAATTACCAGAAATTTTACATCTCTAAGTGGGTCTTGAATGTTCTCACAAGAATGGTGGAAAGGGAAAGGATCTGGAATTCCCCCAGTAGGCCACAAATTGGAAAGGACTCACAAGCTTCATGTTACACTATCTGGCACTATGACAATATTGTTAGTAATATGTGAAGCATAAAAGTCACATTTACAACATTGGCATAATTCCATTAAAATTTATATATTCATTTTGGAATGCTGCACAATTTTATAATGTCTAAGCAAAACAGAAAGATGTATACAGAACAACACAAAAATATAAAGGTTGGAATTTTGCACAGACTGCATTCAATATCACATAATGCCATATACTACTTTGCTTTATATTAAAGGCATACCTTTGACATGATGGACTAAGGACACAATGTGCTGAATAAATGACTCTGATGTGCTTTTGCTGGCTTGTGGTAGCTTAATGTGGTCAAAGATGGATCGGAACTCTTGCTCCTTCTTGACCGAATGGACAAGTGTACTAGCAAGCAGCCTGTCTTTAGTCAACGATGCAGGTCTATGAAGCATAACACACAAAAACCAGAGGTTTATGATAGAGCAACTTCATCATGGATAAAGGAAAAATATTACAGGCTATGATAATTACCTGTTTGAATCATCAAGTGGCACTGGGGCCATTTTAAGTTTCACTTCAGGTCGATGGGAGTCACTGGCTATCATTTTGATCCTAAGTGGGCTCTCCTCCCTGAACGTAGATTTTTCTCTTGCATCCAAATTCTTGTGCAGAGGGGGACTATAATCAAAGAGTTCTTTGAGCTTCTCAGACTTTACCTGCTCAGGTGACTGGGTTTCTTTTTTCATCATTCTCTCGGATATTTTCTCTTCTTCCTTGTGCTTATCTTTTAGTGAACTAGGCCTCTCTACTACATAATTAGTTGTCTCTTTAAGTTTATAATTTTTATCTTCTCTAAAACCTTCACTCTCTCTATTTGTCTTCATAGAGATTTTAGATTTGTACTTAGAGCTGTCCTCCTCAGTATTCCGGTGAGATGCAGCAAAGCTCTTACCCTGATCTGCCAGAACAGACTTTCTGAACTGTCTATAATCTTCTGTCTCCTCCGTGTCCTCCCCTTCAGAATCATTAAATTTTTGTTTCCCAGACTCTTTATCCATATAGTATTCCAATGCTTCCTGATCCTCCCATTCTCTTTCTCCCTCTGTCCTGCCCTTTTCTGATCCTCTCTCCTTTGGGGTATCTTTCTCCCTAGTATTACCTCTATCAAGCAGGTACACTCTAGATTCTTCATCTGTGTACCTGTGGATACCAAAGGAGAAGATGACAATTTTTAACTGCCTTCATTCCAGTTCAACAGCATTCATCTTCTGGCATTCCACCACCACCACAGAATTCAACAACTGGCCATAATTATAACATTTTACACATTGACTATAAAAAAAGAAATCTATCAAAAATTCAAGACTTTTCAGTGCTAAAATAGCAAACTGTAATTCTTGGGACATTTAAACCACTTCTTGCACAAAATCCTGCTCTTCTATGCCTATTTTACACCGACAAGGAAGATAAACTTATTTCCTTTAAAACACACTTTTTAAATCTGATATTCAGTGCTATGCCTGCCTAAGACAAGTTGTAGGCAACACGTGTAACAAGTACAGAAAGCATTGGTTTGTTTCTTGGCCCAATTCAAAGTGATAGTTATGTCTTTTAAAAGCCTACATCATCTAGAATCAGATAATTATCATACATTCTAATAGCCAAGTCAGCCAAATCTGAGGATAGGTAAATCCAATGATGGGTGCTGTGAAGAGACAATTTTTTCGACAAACCTGAAAAATGCCCTGTAACTGAAGAAAAATCTGAAATCTAAATACATAGATGAGTTAAAAGAACCCGAAAATAATAAAAGCAGCACCTGTAGCTTTAAGAAATGGAAATCCTCAGTGGCTATTGCTAGGCAACCACAGAATTCTTGGCTTGGTTTCCGTGAGGAAGCAGGGCCCTTTCCAGGGCCACGCCTGCCAGCAGCTACTAGACAACTTGATACCACTCAACTGAATGACTCACCTAGGACTGGCTGCTTGCTACTATTGAACAGCAGCCACCTGATGAAAACCAGTGTGGTGCAGTGATTAGAGTTTCAGAGTAGGGTCTGGGAGATCCAGGTTCAAACCACCAGTCTAACATGGAAGCTCAGTGGGTGATTTGGGGGCAGTCACATACTTTCAGCCTAACCTACCTCACAGGGTTGTTGTGAGGATAAAAAGGAGAGAATTGTGTAAGCTGCTTTAGTCCCCACTGTGGGGAAAGTGAGGTGTAAAATGAAGTAAATGAATAATAAATATTGCTGAGGATGGGAGGCAGACAAAAGGTAGGTTGGTGAATGGCCAAGGAGGAAAGAATGAAGCAGGGAAAGGGGAGAGGATGTGGAGATTGCCAGCAAATAGTGTGCGGAGGGGAATATAGGGGAAAATGAGGTGCCACCCCACACATCCTTGAGGGTTCTCAAACATGAAAGTGGGCCTGGCCCAGTGGCTGGCCCCACAAAACTGGGTCACATTTTTCCTAGGTAGAGGTTGCCAGGGGAGGGGAGAGAAAGTTTAAGACAGAGAAGCAGATAAAGATGGGTTGGCTGTTGGGTGGGAGATAGGGTAACCAACTCCAGGTTAGGAAAACCTGGTGATTCGGGGGTTGGAACTTGGGGAGGGTGGGGTGTGAGGAGGGAGGGATCTCAGAAAGACATAATGCCATAGACTCCACCCTCCAAAGTAGTCATTTCCTCCATGGGAACTAGGGTTTCCTATCTCCACGTGGGGGCTGGAGATGACTTGGAATCACAACAGATCACTAGGTGACATAGTTCAGTTCTCCTGGAGAAACCGGCTACTTTGGAGAGTGGACTCTATGGCTTTATATCCTACTGAGGTCCCTTCCTGCCCCAAACCTTGCCTCCAAAGGCTCCACCCCCAAATATCCAGGAATCTCCCAAACTGGAGCTGGCAATCCTAAAGCAAGCAGGAAAGGGAACGAGTCTATGGGGGCTTTCAGGAATAGGAAATGGAAATAGTGGGGCAGGGGAGAATGAGATGCTTCCCACAAGTCCTTGCAGGTTTCTGCTTGTATTTTCTAATAGCAAAGTCAGCTGTGCACAGGCAAGCAAAGCTTTCTGCAAACCTGAACAATGCCCCAGATTTGCAGAAAAATCTGAAATTGTTTTTTTAAAAACCCCAAATGTGCCATAGTTTTCCTAGGCAGAGGCTGTGGGGTGTGTGTGTGTGTATGTGAAGACACAGAGGCAGATAAAGACTGTTGGGTGGGAAAAAGAGAAGAAAGCAGGAAAAGGGGAGAGGAAATAGTTGGGGAGGGGGAAATGAGATGCCCCCCACAGATCAACAGAAGTATTTGGGCTGTATCACAGAAGTATAGTGTCCAGATCAAGAGATGTGATGGTACAACTTTACTCTGCTCTGGTTAGATCTCAGCTAGAGTATTGTGTTAAGTTTTGGGACCACAATTTAAGAAGGATATAGACAAGCTGGAACGTGTCCAGAGAAGAGCAACGAAGATGATGAGAGGTCTGGAGAGGTGAGGAAAGGTGGAAGGAGCTGGGTATGTTTAGCCTGGAGAGGAGATGACTGAGAGGTGATATGATCACCATCCTCAAGTACTTGAAGGGCTGTCATCTAGAGGATGGTGTGGAGTTGTTTTCTGTTGCCCCAGAAGGTTGGACCAGAACCAACAGGTTGAAATTAAATCAGAAGAGTTTTCGGCTAAACATAGGAAGAACTTCCTGACAGTTAGAGTGGTTCCTCGGTGGAACAGGCTTCCTCGGGAAGTGGTGGGCTCTCCTTCTTTGGAGGTTTTCAAACAGAGGCTAGATGGCCATCTGACAGCAATGCTGATTGTGTGAACTTAAGCAGATCATGAGAGGGAGGGCAGGAAGGGTTGTCTCAGTGCGTAGTTTTTGTGGCCCTTTTTTACACGCCCAGGAAAATGCTGATTGCCACTTTGGGCTCAAGGAAGCAATCCTGGAGGGTTTTTGTCATCTTCTGGGCACAGAACAGAGGTTACTATGGGTGTGGAGGGGGAGGTACTTGTGAATTTCTTGCATTGTGCAGGGGGTTGGGTTAGATGACCCTGGAGATCCCTTCCAACTCTATGATTCTGATTCTAAGGTGTTATGAGAACACATAAGCATTCTGTTATGAGAACACATAACAGCATGCCTAGAATGCCTATTGTGAATGAGCTAAATAAAATATAAATAAAATAAATATCAAATGAGCTTAGGAGACCCTTCTAAACTGAAGGAATAGAGGCTTTCCTTCTATGGCACCTTAACCTTGAAATGCCTTCTGCAGACATCCATCTGGCACAGAACTAATCCTTTTGGTATCAAGACTTTCATTACTCCAGATTTTTCCCAAACTGGGCTATTTTTTAAAAAATTTAAAGCAATCTGTACCATTTTTATGGTTACATTGTCCTTTTTAATACTGGCCTCAGCCCCTTCTCTTTCAGAAACTAATAAAGATGGATTAGTTGAAGATACCTTCCAGCCCCTTCTCTTTCAGAAACACTGGTTCAGGCTTGAGGCCTACACAGAAATTATACAACCTTCTCTTTCTTTGAGAACTTGAGATCATGTTGACTGCAGTTTAGGAGAACAAGATAAGAAAGGGAGTCTACCCACATGCTGGTTAGACCATTAGGCCTAGTAGTTTCCAGGACAAAGAATCCAGGAATGGAATTTCATCTACACATTCAATCTTGTTAGCGTAAGGACCCATAGATGGGAGAAGGTGCTTGCTTAATTAGGTCCTGTACAGCTACAGTGTACATGGTCTCATAACGGCAATTTTCCTGATACGGTTTGGTCACTTGGTTAGCAACATACCTGATTGGCCAAGTTGCATCAGTTGCTATACATTTGATTGGTCAACTAGAATCATGCCAAAGCCAGTCATTTGCATAAAGGAAGATCTTTCATTCTAGCAATTTCCCTTTGTCTGGATTACATCTATCTTTGGGACATCTCAGGTGAGCCAGGATGGCTGGAACACCTGCTTTGGACTTCAAAACTGTTGGGCTCTGTCTTGTCAGGTAATATCTGGATTTAGAGAACCAATGCTTGTATGTGTGCTTAGGTTAGATATTCAACTTTTATTATTTTATCCTTGCTTTTCATTGCTCTTATATTGTATATTCCTGCACATCCATTTAATAAACCTTATTAATTACACTTTGGGGTGGTTTTGGATTACAAACATCAAATAAATCAATAAAGTTATGCTTTGCAAAACAAATGGCCTCTGGGAACATATCTCTATTCAAAATAGCTTGCATGAACTAGTTATTCGGATCTGGAATAAACAGGTTCAAATCCCCTCACTGGAAGCTCACTGGGTGACCTCAGGCCAGTCCTGTACTTTCTACCTAACCAACCTCAGAGTTACTATTCTAAGAATTAAATGGCGGTGGGGAGAAAGATATTGTAAGACACTTTGGTTCCCCACTGGGGAGAAAAGGTGGAGCATAAACAAATAATAAAGATGGATTAGTTGAAGATACCTTTAATTCAGTCATAACTAAAAATGTTTTTTGAGATTTAAAATGCTCTTAATGATTTAGCCAGTATGAGATGCACCCAGTGATACATCTGACCACTGCTGCCAGCCCTAACCTTTCCTTCTGAAAAGCATTCTCTAGCTTCAGATTCCAAATGACAACATTCTGTCACTGCTGTGGTGTCTTCCCTTGAATGTGGTTGAGAATACTGACCATTATTGTCCTTTTATACTTATCCCATAGACGGGTTCCTCTCTGGGTGGCTGATCCTTATCAATGAGAAAATAGATCCCACAAGAAGTAATCGGATTGTGCCAGAATCTATATTCTACTTGTTGGACATTCATGCTTATTGCATACAGAAGGGATTATTTCCTATAGCAACCTCATAAATTATTATCTTCAGACCACATACACAAATTGAAAGGGGGGGGTAACTAAAGTAGGAATACAAGTCAAACACTCTAGTACCATGGAAATATCTTTTAACCCTATCCTTTTAAAAGTGTGTTTTTATCCCTTTCATGCAAGATGGTTTGCATGTTTAAATTACATTGGGATAACCAGTATTCATAAAGTTATAAAGTAAATGACTTACCATCCATAATGTAACCAAAACCTGCATATGCTATATTATAAACCACTGACCAAAGTTGCCACAGGAACAACAGAATGTAATTTTGAACATCTACCCTTATAGATACCAGAAGCAAAATACCAACGTACTTGCTATCATTTTATTACACATTAAAGAACTGCACACTTTTTATTCCTATATATGATGGTTTATGACACTCAATACAGTACTTTTCACTGTACAGTACACAGTCCAACATAATGTAATTATTCAGCTCAAATTAACTAAATAAGCAACTTTATTTTTGTAGTTATGGGTTCTTACCTTTTCATGAATTTTCCACCCTTTGCACTTTCCTGTTCCCCAGCCTCTGGATAAAAAGAGCGCATGCGAGTCTCCTCACGTGGGGCATTCTGTGATGCGACTGCTTTTGCAGGACTTCTTCTTGCAGGAATGTGATGTAGTGGGCTGTTCTGGGAAGGGCTGTAGCGACTAGAACCATTTCCCAGGGAACCAGACCCAGACCTCTCAGGGCTATGCTGAATGGAATGTGAGTGTTGAGGTGTGTCTTTTCCCGAGTGAGCAGTGCTAAGTAACTGAGCATCAGAGCATGAAGAACTCTGACTTGGTGGGGAAGCAACAGAATGACTATGGAGAGACCGTGGACTGTTATCATATGCTGAAAGTCCAGGCCAAATATCACCTGAAGCTGCTGATTTACTGAAGTCATCTAAAGGCTCAGATGGGTCATGTTCAAATGCACCTTTATCTTCCTCTTGTGATTTATTTTTTAATGGGCTGTCTTGCAAAGCAGCTCCCTCAGTTTTCTTTGCTTGCTTTTCTGATGATCCACGTCTTTTGGAAGAGACGGGTGATTTGCTGTATGGAGATGATGACCGAGACGAAGAGGATCTTGGAGATCTGGAAGATCTATATGATCGGCGAGATCTGCTGCGAGACCTCTGGGAAGAGACTGATCTTCGCTTTGGACTTCTAGAACGTGAACGGCCCCGTCTAGGACTTCGGGAATGCCTTCTATTCCAGACAGGTCTGTAACCTCCACGATGATATCTACCTCCACCTCCTGGATAATATCCTCTACCTCTTCCTCTGTAACCATAGGGGCGTCTCATTCCTCTATTATTTCTGTAATCTCTGCGATAATCTCTATTATAAACACGATCTCTACTGCGAGATCGTGAATATGTCCTAGACCGAGACCTAGAACTAAGATTTATGGATATTTTAGTACATGAACAGTTCAAGATCCTTTTAAATCAACTGTCCAAAAAACTGAGCAGTGGGCAGTGTTCCACTCACACAGGAAATCTATTCTACTATGCTTTTTAACAATCATTCCCCATTCTTTCCATACTAGAGGTTCCCCCCCCCCAATTTTCCAGTGAAAATAATGGAAATTTGTGAGATTATTTTATAAAAAGTGAAATATTTTCTACTTTGGAGTGGACTGAATGAAATGCACACAAGATTTTACTCAAGGACTGTCTAAATAATACATGACCTTCTGTCTACCACAAAAGTATATTTCCTGTCTTCAACATGTTGTTAAAGCAGGAAAATGCTTAACCATAAGTAATGCATAACTTCAGTTTCCCTCCAAATTTCTATTTTCCGGGGGCAGGATGTCCTCCCCACCTTTGGCTTCAAATTTTCCAGAAATTTTCTCTTTTTTCACAGCTATCAGTTCCTCAAGTTTCTGAAAAGTTCTCTTAAAAAATTCAATCACTGCCCAAGTTCTTACACACCCACACACACACAAATCTTCTCTACAACTTTTTTCTATACAACTGTCGACTACAAATATTAGCAACTAAAGCAATCAAACAGAACATTGTCAAAGCATTCAAACTACTAAATCTGCAATTTTTAGCATATACTGGTAAGTTCTATAGACAACAGAACTTGCTTCCAAGCATAAAAGGCCCAACCAAAAGCTTAATGCTTAAAAAAGTTAAAATACAAAAAATTTACCTGTATCTCTTTTTTCTAGAGTGTGATCTTGACCTTGACCTTGAACTGGACTGTGATCTGGACTTTGATCTTGAAGAATGTGATCTAGTGTTAGAGCGACCCATTTTCCGCTACTGGTTTAACCTACCCAATAAAAAATAGGTCAAATGAACCATATTTTAAATAAAATTAGAAAGTTCAAATAATTTGTGAAATGTCTTAACTTCAGAATTCATATTCTAATAATTTATCTTATCCTAAATCTAACACGAAAGACTACACTTTTTAAACAATTCAAGATTAAGAGTAATTTCTTTCCCCTGAACAGACTTTTGCCAATATGTTGTCAAGGGCTTTCACGGTCAGAGTTCATTAGTTGTAGATTTTCTGGGCTGTATGGCCGTGGTCTTGGCATTGTAGAACCTGCTGTTTCGTCAGCAGCTGTGACTGGCATCCTCAGAGGTATAACACAGAAAGATGGAGTACTCTCTTGTGTCCAATTTCTCAAATGAAAACTTCCTTAAAGAATAGCACTCTATTTTCTACCTTCTGGCAAATTCAGTACTATGCTGTATGGACAATAAATAGCAACACTGATAACTCTTTCAAAAAAAAACCCACCACCATTTTCCACATGAATGTACCTTCGTCAAGTACTTTTCCTCATATCCATTGCTCATTTCCTTGATGGAAAGATCTTAAAATTCACCACTTCCTACAATGAATCAACATTTTCCAGCAACTTTCATTTCTCAAATACCATGCTCTGCCCTTTGACCTTGACAGAGAAAGCAACACTAATTGCATATTCCTTTTATACTATTTATGATTAGCCAATGTTGAAGCATTAGTGTAAGTCAGAGCTCAGGTAGGAACTACTTACCTTTAAAGTATTTCTCTCAAGGATAGTACTGCAGTTTTACCAGAAAACCAATGTGTATGTAAGACAGTTAAGCCAGGAAGCATCACACCACTATTTTTTCTATAATACTATTTTATTCAAAAAAGAAATATTCGTAAATAGACAGACAAAGCTGCTAGATCAGAATCTTTCCTATCCTAACTTCCTACACACTTGGAAACTCTTTAACCTTCCTGTTGTTTAATCTTAATGTTTATGTTGGTGCTGAAGGACGACAACCTATCCCCAGGCATTCACTGAAATGGCTCCTGTACCCTATGTATCGTGGTTTTAAAGCTGAGTTTACTTAGAACAAGTGACATTAGATTAAAATTTAAGCTGTCTGCAAGGTGTTTAAATTTATAGAGATGAAAATATTGGATCTTGCGTGTTCCTTGGTTAACAGGTCATTCTTGAACAGCCACTTCTATATGAAGTGATGGATCGTCACCACCTTCCCAAAGCAGTCTCCTGGGACCCCCGAAAAGGCAACACTAGGAGTAAGGGGACCCTATGTACAAAAGGCCACACAGAATAAGACACTGTATATTTCCAGATTACTGCAGTGAGGAGGCAGAATTGGACAACCTCATCTCCCTTTTCTGCTGGTGGTACAAGATGGTAGACGACAATTTTGCCTGCTTCTTTCTTTTCCTAACAGCCCTCTCTCAGATGGCCTTTTGTACATAAGGAGGGTAGTCCAACATCACATTGCCAGAGACCAGTGGGAGTGAGGAAAGGTAGGAAAGGTCCACCTACCACACATGGTTCAGAAGATTCATTTTATACTCTGGGCATTGTTGAGAATGGTACCTTCATGCTGGGAAGGATAATTAAATTGTATTCACTCCCTAGCAAGTTTTGTTTTTCTTCATGAGCCTCACTCCACTTTCTCTCCAGGCACATTTTTATGTTTTTAATCCCAAACTAATTAAGCTACATGTCCAGATAAAATTGTTTGAGAAGCAAGTATATGAACACAGGAGTGAATATACATACATTTCCAGAAAATGCTCATTTCATTTATTAAACAACCACCTGTGGACAGCTGTTATGTCAATCTGGGGGGTTTTGTACTAAAAGCATATATTATTTCATTGGCTTTAACCCCCCTCCCCCTAACTACATGCTACATTTTGTAAATTAGCCATTTTAAGAAAACACTGTAGAATAAAACCCAGTAATGCTTAAAATTTTAATAGCCTGAACACAGCCTTAAAGCAGTAGAACAGTTATCTTACCTGGCAATCCTGTAAATCAGTAAGGAAGAAATTTACAATTCTTAGTACGCACTCGAATATCAAATCCTGTTTTAAAAAAAGGAAAGTTATTTTGATTTCAATCCTTGATCATATATAGGTTTTTAAAGCTTGAAACAAACACAAAACAAACAGAACCTGTCATTTCAACATTAATAAATGTATAATTTATCTTCACTCTTTGCAGCAGTATATAACAGCCTTGTGGATTTGTTGATTATTCATAAATACATGTGTAGTTGCATAATGTATACAATTCATACATTATTGTGAGTACACAACTTTATTTGGTAACACCACAATCCTTCTAGCATACATCTGGCAACCACTTGCAGCCAGCAATAACTATCTGGTACCACAGGTGACTACAGAGCACTTATATACCAGCAGTCCAGTGGCAGGTGCAGACAGCCCTGGGCTACCAGTGTGCTGCTCTGACATGCCTCTCCTAGGCCCCAGCTTCCCAACAGATGGTCAGCACAGATTACTTGAGTGAATAACAAAGCCCCTGAATGTGAGTCTCTCCCTGTCCTTACTGAAGTACCAGAAGCAATGACATGTTCAATTCTATGTACACTGTTCCTGTTCTGCTTCCAGAAACCATGCATGAAACTGAATATGGAGAACAAGAACAGGAAACCACACACATATACTAGGCTTTTCATGTGCCACTGCCAATCCAGTAACACAACTGCACAATTCTACCATTACTGGATCAAACGAAGATATGCCCTTGGTTCTTTCAGCCATGGCCTTTTAAAGGTTTTACATACATGTAAGTGTTGATATTTTTTAAGCAAATGCATGGTTAGGGATGTCTCAATACCTGCCTATTTTCTAAATTGACCGTGTAAATTTAGTAGCGGTCTCTGGAAAGAACACTTCTAGCAACCTAAACATCGTATGCTCAACAGGCATCTACAGCCTATGGCCGCTCAATAAAGAGCGCTTATATGATGCACGTGTCTGCAAACACGTTCGCCGCATTTCACACTGTAAGCTTGCAGGGATTAACCAACAGTAAATATTTATTAGGAACCGCGAGCGCGAGGGCGGGGGGCCGCGCGTTAACCCACGAAGTGTCCCGCAGCCGCGCGGAAACCCTGGAAGCCGCTACGCGGCTCAGTTGCCGCAGAGACGGGGCGGGGGCAGCTCAAACGGATCAGGTGTCGCTGCCGCGCAGCAGATAAATCAGAAATGAGGGCTCCCGCGCGCGCCTTCTCCTGTCTCCCTTCGGGTCAAACGTTCCTCGGAGACTTCGCTCCCGGCTACCTGCGCCGCCGGTGAGAGAGCGGCCCCGGTCCGAGGGGTCGGGGAAGGAGGGCGCAGGAAACGCACCCACAGAATGGCCTCCGGATCGCCTCCTCCTCCCCCTCCCCCACTCCGAGGCCCGACCGAGGAGGCCCCTCCCCCACCGCTTATGAAGGGGCCACCGAGAAACGAGGGGAAAAAGAGAGAGATTGTAGAAAGGGGAGGGGTCCGGCCGCGCGCCCCGAAGGATATTAAGCCACGGAACTGGCGGAGGGGGAGGGGGGAGAGAAGGAGCGACGGGGGCTTTATTGCACCTGAACGAAAATGGGCACCGAAACCTCAAAAAGAAAACAAACGGACCTAGCAGGCCGGAGCAAAAGGCATCTCCGTCAGCAGGTCCAAAAAAAACCCAACCCCCACGGCGGCCTCACCCGCTTCGGCCGACGCCTCCCGTTCGTCTCTACCGTTCGGCTGCCATTTCCCGTCTCCGTGAAGGAACAGAAAGAAAAGGGAGGAGGGAAACCATAGAGAAACCTACTTCTGCGACGTTAGCCTCTCGCGGTTCCGTCACTTCCGCTCCAGATAGGGCGAGGGAACGCGCTTCGGGCAGGAAGTCCGTCTACGGGCCTGCGCCATCAGAACCTGCCCGTAGGAAAAACGGTGGGGGAAGGGAGTCTAGGTGACGTGCCAGCCCTTGCCTGGGTGCTTCATGGTCTCGTGATACTTCGGGTGCGCAGGCTCAATTGTGTTATTCCGTGTAAGGGTGGTTCTGCGTGTTAAACCGACGTACTTTTTGGGGAGGGAGGGATGATCTGCGAAGGTTACTGGTATTTTCTTTATTCTGTTCAAATGCATTAGATTTGTATCCTGCTGTTTTTTCAAGAAGCATATATTTTCTCCAGTTTGTGTCCCCATGAGGTTAGTTAGGCCGATGGCGATTGGCCGGCCCGTGGACTTCATGATTAAACGGGAGTTGAACCGTGCTGGCTTAGATTTCTCTACTCTTTTTTTTAACTTCTGTATTTATATCCTGCACTTCTCAGAAATGCCCAGAGCAAAACTAGCCTTACAACAGCTCAGTGGGCTAGGCTGAGAAATAGTAACATACAAGTGGGGGCATTTTACTTTCCCCTGTATGTGCTCCACAATTTCCACTTTCTGTCCTTACAGCAGCCCCATATCTTTCCACTTTCTGTGCTGCTTTTTTTCCCCTTGAAGCAGCAACCCAACTTATCAAACCCCATCTTTAGTTATATTTATTAACTTCATTTTTATCCCCTCTTTCTTCCTAATGAGGACCCAAAGCAGGTTACATCATCCTGTCTTCCATTGTATCCCACAACAACCCTGTGAGCTTCTGAGATTTGACAAAGTCTCCCACATCCTAGTCTGAAATTTTAACCTCTACACCACATCTACCTTTGTGCAGTAGCTGCTGTTTAATAATAACAACTTTGTGGCCCTGATGAGTCTTCCCTTAAATGCCAAAACAGCCCTGGAAAGGGTACTGCCTCCTTCCTCTGCCTTTTACTGGCAGAAACCAAGACTTGAAGGCTGGCAATATTGTGGTTGCCTAGCAACACCCCCTCCCGCCACTGCAAAGAACATTTGTTTCCTTGAGGCTCAAGTGCAGCTTCTGGGGGGGGGGGGGCTTTAGCATCCCAGTGTGTTTCTCTTTTAGCTTTCAGATTTTTCTGCACACATTGGGCTTTTATCAGATTTGTAGAAAGATCAGTTTTCTCTGTTCATGGCACCAGTCTCCAGATTTGTATTCACAAATGTAGCCCCACTGAGAATTAGATATATTGATCTAAGGCTGAACAGTATTTCACCTGTCCAAGCCCACTACTACATAATACACAGCTGAATTTTTTTTTACTCTGCAATTCAATGCAAAGTTACCTGGGAGGAAGCACCATTGAACATAGGAAGGAGGAATGCATAAACATGCATAGGCTGAGTCTGTCCGAAAGGTACATCATGGATACATCCAGTGTTTGAATATGAACATTCTTGCTCCCAAAGGCAGAAAGGAGTACTTGCCTAAACCAATAAGTTGTGACATGTCTCCATCCTGAATGTCATGTTTGCTGTAGCCTTGGTAGTTTCTAAATAGAGGTCTAGAGTATATTAATACTATAATTGTATAGCTGGTAACAACTGACAATGAAATCAGTGCACTCCAATATGTGTATGAATTGGCAAGAAAGCAAGCAGAAATAGTTTAACTATGGAAATCTGCATGTTTTTTACACGATGCTTCTTTGTAATTAGAATTTCACACAGTAGAAAAAGTTGTCAATTTACAGCTATACCAGTTTAGCAAGCAAGTCCCCCAAAACATTGCTAGTTTGTTGCTTGCCTAAAAATACTTTTATTAGTCCCTGACTTGGATAGCCCAGGCTAGCCCAATTCTGTCAGGTCTCAGAAGCTAAGCAGGGTCAGCCCTGGCTAGTATTTGTATGGGTAACCTCCAAGGAATACCAGGGATGTGGCACAGAGTCAATGACAAATCACCTCTGAAATGTCTTTTGCCTTAAAAACAAATGTCTTTTGCCTTAAAAACAAGAGCTGGAACTTCTGGTTGCCAAACAATTTTAGGATCTCCTGGCTATACTGCATACACTGCCATATGATAATTAATTAACTTTTGTTAGTTGTTTGAGATTCACCAAGAGCATAAAACAGAAAAAAGAGACTCTTCCAATTTTGCAAAGTGTCCTGGCTTGGAGAGTTTAGTGACTACACCAACAGAGCAATCTTAAGAAGGGCTACACAAAATGCTACTCAAATCTATTCAGTGGGGCTTATGCCCAGGAAAGTGTTTTTAGAATTGAACTATAAATGTTTCTTACCATACATTTTGAGTATTTTATTTCACCCATTCCAGAAGGGGAATATATTTTATATATGAGCTACCTATATATATAAAATCAGTGTTCCCTCTAAGTTGAGTTAGTGTGAGCTAGCTCAGTTTTTTAGCCTCTGGCTCACACATTTTCGTCTTAGCTCAGGAAGGAAGGCTCCAGAGCAAACTAATTTATGCAGTAGCCAAATCACCTGCTCACAACTTTAATGCCGGTAGTTCAAAAAGTAGAATTTTTGCTCACAGGACTCTACAGCTTAGAGAGAACATTGTATATAATATACCTTTCCAAAGACAGCGTGTGAAGTAACCCTTAGAAAATAAACATACCTCCCTCTCCATGAACGGAGCATAGCAGTAGATGGCACTCTTTGTTTAGAATCATCAGTGAACATTTAGCATTCCTTGCTGCAACTGTTTCGTGAACAGAATCATTTGGCAGAAGAAGAAGAGGGTTACTGTATTTCCTGAAAGTTCATATTTGATCTGAAAGTTCCAAGTTTATTTGATGGTATTCCCAGCACGTGGGATGAAACTGCAGTCATCCTTGTGGGCATTTTCATGTACACTAAATAATGCACTTTCAATTCACTTTGCAACTAGATTTTACTGTGTAAAATGGCAAAGTCCACTTGCAAACGGTCACTAAAGTTGATTGGAACTGTATTATTTAGCACTAGGAAAAAGGCCCGTTGTGGAAATAAATACAACGGCCTCTAGAAAGAGGCTCGGACACTCAGTGTCAATTTGCTGTGGTGACCTCAGCAGGGTATAATGACACTGAGTCAACCTTTTTCCCCAGAGGAGCTGATCTCTGCTACCTAAAGAACAGTTTGTAATTTTGAGTGATCTCCAGCCCTCATCTGGACATTGGCAACGATGGTTCCCCAGAAGAGAATAGTTGGTTTGGAGGGTGGAGTCTATGGCTTCGTACCTATCTGAGATCCCACGCCTCCTGAAACCTCACCCTCTCCAGGCTTTCCAGGAATTGTCCAACCTGGAGTTGGCAACCCTATCTCCTTCCCAGCCAATCATCAACCTACTTTTATTTCCCCCTCACTCTTCAGCTTTCCACCCCCCTCACACCTGCAGCCTCTCCTGTGCTCTGAAGCCCTGACTGCTATGTCACATTGGCTGTCATACGGAGGCCACCTCAGCAGCATATAAGGATACAGAGCCCACCATTTTCTCCAGGGGAACTGATCTCTGCCATCTGGAGAGCAGTTGTAATTCTGAGTGATCTCCAGCCCTTACCTGGAGATTGGCAGCAATGGTTCCCCAGGAGGAAAAGTAGTCTTTCTCTGTAATGGGGACCAAAGCAGCTTACATTATTCTCCTCTCCCCCTTTTGACTTGCACAATAACCCTTTGAAGTAGGTTAGGAAAAGGTGCCAGCAGTCACCCTATTACTGCCACTGATATGTACTAGATAGCGCTTCAGAGGATGCTGTGCAGGTCCCAGGTTCATGTTATAAAAGCTGCCTGTGGGATTATGGACCATTCACAGACTTTCAACCTAACACACCTCACAGGGTTGTTGTGCGGATCATACGGGGGAGAGGAGAATGATGTCAGCTGCTTTGGTTCCCATTGCAGGGAAAGACTGCCCTTTCCTTAGGTAGAGGCTACAGGGAGGGGGGAGGATATGTTGTAAGTTAATCAGATAGCAGGAAGATCATTAGGATCTAACTGACAGTTCAGTGACAGCTACATGTCAGCAGGTGGACTGATAAGCCTGTTCAAACCGGTTAGAAGCCTGCTGAGGGTGGGGTCTGAGGAGGAGGAAGAGGGGGACCTCAGACAGATACAATGTCATAGACTCCACCCTCCAAACAAAGCAATTTCTTCCTGGAAAACCACTGTTGCCAATCTCCAGGTGACAGCTGGGGAGCTCTAAAAGCTCTGGTGCTAATTCAATGTGCTGAGGATGTGTTGCGTTCTGGCAGGGGACACTGTGAGTGTAGAAACTGAACATGGTGAGAGTAGTGTTTTGGAAAATCTTTGGGAATTGCTTGGTGCATTTACCACAGGGCACCCACCTAGAGCCTCTGGCATTTTATCACTCTGCTGGCATCAAAACCAATTTAAGGCAAAATAGAAATATGGAGATTTTTCCATCCTCCTTTGCATCAATCTGTCTTTGTTGGCAACCCTAGGCCTACCAGCACTCTCAGGGTGACTTCATGCCTCCAGACTGGCATTACTTCACTAGCCCTAGCTGGTTGCTCCTGTCCAGCAGGAGCCTCCCCATGGAAGCTGCCTGGGTGATTTTAGACCAACCACAGACTTTCTGCCTAATATACCTTGCAGGGTTGCTGTACAGATCACAAAGCAGAAGAGGAGAATGAAGTAAGCTGCTTTGCTCCCCACTAATGAGAAAGGCAGAACTTTGCCTAGGAAGAGGCTGCTGAGAGGGGAGGAGATAAAGTTGCCAACTTTAGGTACGGAAATTCCTGGAGATTTCAGGTGTGGAGCCTGGAGAGGGTGGGTTTGAGGAGGGGTGGGGCCTCAGAAAGGTACACTGCCACAGACACCACACTCCAAAACTGTCAAATGTGTCTAGGACCACAGACCACAGTTACTCTCTACCAGGGGTCATTTTGTAGAAAAAGAGCTGCAGGAGCTGATTAGCATACCTAATAAGCTATTAGCATCACCGGAAC